AAACCAATCAACTTCACGCACCGGACACACTCATAGGCCTGATTAGGTCACAATTTGATTCAGATTTCTATATTTGGTAGGCTTAGCCAATGGGATGAGGCCGACAACTGGCGCATGCGCAGTAAAATGAGGTCGTTTGATAATAAAATATAACTGCTGTTGAATAATATTGTTAAGTAACAGCAAGCTTGCGCGCACTGTCTCGACGGCTTCTTGCTCCAATAGTAGTTTATTTAAATGATTTTTTAAGTTTTGCCCCGAGGGGCGAGTTAATTGGGCAGCGGGACTCATCCTGTGAGTGGACACACCGCCATAGTGACAGTATTGGGCAGCGTCACTCATCCTGTGAGTGGACACACCGCCATAGTGACAGTATTGGGCAGTGGGACTCATCCTGTGAGTGGACACACCGCCATAGTGACAGTATTGGGCAGCGGGACTCATCCTGTGAGTGGACACACCGCCATAGTGACAGTATTGGGCAGCGCCACTCATCCTGTGAGTGGACACACCGCCATAGCAGCATGTACAACACTCCCCAATAGGAAGAAAACCCGCTGGGTTGTTCATCCTGTCACTTGTACCCAGACACAGCTGGGACTTGCTTATCTGTCTCAAGTGAACACCTCCTCAAACAAGAAGATTAACATCTATCAACCCTTAAAATCTTACGTTATCTTGCGGGTGCAAAATGGCGGTTATCTTTTAATAGAACAGTATCTATATTTGACAAATAGTGTTTTTCTAACTCAATGTGAAGTTTATTATTCTACACATATTTCTAATGACTCTTAGATGTCCACACACTCTCAGGTAGTGGTCAAGGCGGTGTCCATCACTCTCGCCACAGATTCAGCAACTCCGCTGCTCAGCTGTTTCCATCCCGAATCTCCATGGATATTTGTATCCAAGACAGATTCTTGTTATTACTGATTCTCTCCCGCAGCCGCCACCTCTTCATCCATAATGATTGGGATTACCAGTTGCAACCATGTTGTACCATCGTACAGATTCACTGGTTTGTGCTTCTATCCTCCTTTCCTCAGCAACCTTATCACGGTGATATTGCCTGATAATACCTCTAATTTGTAGCAGAGTCTTGGGTATGACGTACTCAATGTGGTCTCCTTCAGCGCCTTCGGCAGCCAGCACATCTGCTCGATCATTTCCGGATTCCAACATGGGAGGGGATCCACAGAAATTTGACTACTCTTGATTGGTTAGTCCCCTCACAGCTCTCTTGATCTCAGCGACTATCTCAAGATTTTCTGCCCGATCTTTAGTAAGGCTTTGTAGCGCTGCTTTAGAATCAGTGCAGATCACTTATAAATTTCTAATTTGCGGGATTAATTTTATCATCCTAAGCTGGATGAATTCATCCACTTGTACATCCTAAGCTTCAGTTGAATTTATGTCCATTCTATAGTATAGTATATTCTATATAAAATTTTTAAATCTAACAATTAATAGTTATCATTCCTACTAATCATGACCCCCCTGATCATTGGGATGGACGGTAGAGCGATGGTCTCGCTTCATGCAGGCCTGTGTTCAATCCCCGACCGCCCAAGTGGTTGTGGACCATTCCTCCCCCCCCCCCCCCAAAATCCTTATCTTGACCCCTTCCCAGTGCTATATAGTGGTAATGGCTTGGTGCTTTCTCCTGACAGTTCCCTCCCCTGCTCATTTATCAGCCTCAGACTTGGCTCTCCAGTTGATAATCTTGTAATTATCATCATTACCTAACCTCGGAACCTTAGACAAACATCGAAAGTAAGCAATTAGCTTAGTAGAGTGGTCATTTCTTTCAGATAACATAAGATAACAAGGCAAGGTTATCCACTAATCGATACATGTGGTCCATACTCTGGTTTAGGCGTGTGTGTGAGGATAACAAGAAAGAGTATCCGTTGGGTGCACACAGACCCGGACACACGTTTCATTGTTTACCCTCAAATACCCTCGCAGACAACGAATGACTAAGAAAAAATGATCCAATTGGTCACAAGACCCGCAAGTGATGAGCTGTCAAGCTTAAGGACCTGAGGAGGGAAGAGAACTTTACGGGTGAGGAAAAGCGCCAAGCCATTAGGACCCGAGGAAGTCGCGCGGGAAGTGTGGCGCGTCACCTCGGCTAGCGACGCGCGCATACACATCAATATGGCGGCTCTGACGTCACCCCGGAGCCCAACGGTCACTGGGGACACATCGCGCCTCCACTATACTGTATGGCTCACACATATGTCCAGCCACACACCTGCTGTACCTCGTGATATTGGTCCCTTGGTTCTGGGTCCTTGGTTCTAAGACCCTTGGTACAGCTCCCTTGGTACTGGTTCAATGGTCCTGGAGTTATGGTACTGGTCTGGTGTTTCCGGTCCTTGTTACTAGTTTACCTAATTATTGCCTACCTGTTGTTGGTGCCGGGGATCAACGTCGCCGCGACCCGGTCTCTGACCAGGCCTCCTAGTTGGTGGTCTGGTCCACCAGGGTGTTGGACGCAGCTGCTCGTAGCCTGACGTACTGATATCACTGCCTGGTTGATCAGGTATCCTTTAGAGGTGTATCCTTGTGGAGACTGAGTCTTGATACCGGTGTTATCCCCGACACCCATAACACTTGAAACAGAGGAGATCGCGCCACTCCACAAAGGAGGTAGTAAAGCAGACGCAACAAATTATAGACCAATAGCTTTAACTTCCACACACAAAATCTTTGAAAGAGTGCTAAGGAGTAAGATTACAACTCACATGGAATCACATCTACATAACCCAGGGCAACACGGGATCAGAACAGGGCATTATGTGCCCTGTTCAGGACGAAACAGAGATGTGTCTCAAGTGAAAGTGAAGATAGTGACAATAAAGTATGGCCTCGCAAGACTTCGCACTGTACCTGCTTCTCATACTTAATGTCGTTCCACAATCAAACAATTAAACGCTTTACTCTCGTTTTTTTCATTCCCCGGCCATCTTGTGGAATGGACCACCACCCTATACTGTCAATACATCGCTACGGGATCCAGTAAGTTCAGTAGAACTTCGATTTCAACCCTTTTACCCTGTCGTAGCTCAGTCGATTAAGGCAGTGTCTGGGATGCTCCAGGACGGAGGTTCGAATCCTCGTCACGGCCCTTGTGGATTTGTTCTTCTGTCAATACATCTTTGGTATCCAGCCTCTCAAGAAGCACCTGTGGAGCCTCATCTTAAACTGACACACATCTGATTTCCTGTTCCACTTCGGGAGAGCACTAAGTCATTACGACTATATAGCACTGGGAACGGATCAGGATAAGGATTTGGAATGGAACGGGGGAACGGAATGGTGCCCAACCACTTGGACGATCGGGGATTGAACGCCGACCTGCATGAAGCGAGACCGTCGCTCTACCATCCAGCTAAAGTGGTTGAGTTTTTCCACTTCGAGAAAAATATTTGAAAATATTTGTGTAAGCAGAGACGCATTCTTAAAATATTGGCAAATTCGATGCAGTTTCGAAAGCAGACATGATAAAAACAGACCGGATTAAATCATTGCAATAAACAAACTACTGCTGGGAAAGCGGGGCCAAGGAGCTAAATCTCATAAGCTACAGTAACAGTCTGCTAGACCATGTAGGCACATCTTGGTGAGCAGCACGAGTATAATGTTCTAGCTTATTCAGCACGTGCCCCGGATGCGCTCACCCTATATCCGTGCCCCCCACCCACTCCCCGAAGCGGGCACCCAATACCCGTGGCCCCTGAAGCATGTACCCTATACCTGTGCGCGTGCCCCTGCGAAGCGCACACACGATCCACTTTTCCCCTGAAGCGCGAACCCGGTAAGTGTGTCCCTGAAGTGCGCACCCGATACGCTTGTCCCGGAACCGCGCCTCCGACGCGAGCTCATTTAACGCGCATCCCGCATACGTTCATTAAGTGTGCACCTGACGCGTGCCCACTACGCACGCACCCAACGCGGGTTCATTAAACGTGCACTCAACGTAGGATCATTAAGTGTACACCCAAGCGTGCACACCTTACCCGACTGCTTCAAGAACATGCCTATATACAGTGCACTGTTACACACACAGCACCGCACTCCTGTGCCAGGTAAGTCCACTACGGGCTCACCATAGCCCGTGCTACTTGGAACTTGATCCGAGTAGCTGAATCTATAACAACAATGTTAGGATAATCTATTAAACCCGGTGAGTGCTTTGTAGACGATAAGTCACAATAACGTGGCTGAAGAGTCGACACCCAACCCACTCATCTAGAAGTGAACAGACGACATTTCGGTCCGTCCTGAGTCCAACCACTTGGGTTGGACGGTAGAGCATCATGCAGGTCGGCGTTCAATCCCCGACCGTCCAAGTAGTTGGGCACCATTCCCTCTTCCCGTCCCATCCCAAATCCTTATCCTGACCCCTTCCAAGTGCTATATAGTCGTAATGACTTGACGCTTTCCCCCTGATAGCTCCCTCCCTCGGTCCGTCCTGAACCTTTATCAAGTCGATTACACGACTTGATAATGGTCCTGGACCAAAACGTCGTTGGGGTCTTCGCTTTCAGATGTGTACGTTGGGTGTCATATATATATATATTGTTGTTGATTGAGGGACGACGATCGGGGGATCGGCTGCGCCCTGGCAGGCCTTTATTACAGGCCGTTTACACCCATATATATATTGACTTGTTGACAAATGGACCGTAGATACAGGCCTACAAATTTCCACTTCATCACCTAGCACATCCCAAGCGGTGCCATGGGTGCCACACATCTCTCGCCATTTGAGAGTTCTGGGAATGAAGATCCCGTCACATCTTAGGAGGTGTAAAGGAGAAAATAGAGACAAATAAGAGACAAAACAGGAGTCGTAGAGCGGCGCAGCGGTTGGCCAGCCTGGCGGCTGGTTCCACCCAAACAAGCAGACGACACCGACTGAAGAAGCCACATTAATCAAGAAGAAGCCTCAAGAAGCCACATTAACAACACCAACTACTGCAGCCTCTTACCTTATCTGCTTGACGATCATATCTGCAGGGGTGATCATCCTCCAGGCTCCGTGCAGATAATCCCGACATATTCGATATGCACGATCTCGCATTTCACACGTGATTTCTGAAGACATAGCGAGCTCAGTTTTGGTATTAGAAAAAAAGACGTGAAGTGACGATACAATACTTATGTATTAGACCAAACTTGTGTCATTTATTCTATAATAACAGAGGCAGAGTCATATGCAACATGCAGAGTCGTAGGTGTGTGTAGTGCGGCTGTGAGGACGTAACTTTGACTTACCAGGGAGAAGTCGCCGGTATTTATGCCGCCAACCAGACGTCACGTGACCGAGATCAATGTTTACCTCGCGGTTGTCTAATGCCGATTATTAAAACATTTATCCATCTAAACTTTCCAGTATTGATTACTATTTTTCTCAAGGGGAATATGCGGGGTATTTATGTATGGAGTAATATGTGTTTAAAGTAAATAAATATTGATGAGAATACTAGTAAGACTATGTAGATATGTTGCATAAACGTCTTCTACCCGTTCTCTCTTTAGTATTAGTGGGTAGACTGTTGTGTTCCGTCAGGAGTCCGGTGAGGTTCCCATTCCGTTGGGCCTTACACTTCTTTTCTATATATTACGCTACTAACCAAACGTAATGCCATTTTCAATATAGGAGAAGAATACAGATAATAATAACGTTATTGACGTTGAAGGAAAGTCCCAATGTATGTATAAATGTATTAAAAAAGTAAATTTTCAGATGTAATCATCTTTTCTCTGGTACTGAATACAATTTTCTAAGTAATATTTTAGGAGTTTGCGTTTATAATTCTTGCCGTCCATCATTAGATGTCGTTCGGATTATGTTCCTCAGGAACGTCAAAGTTTCAGAAGAATGCTCAATTATCTTGCTATACGCAAAACTTGAATCATGTTCAGAATTGTATAAGTACCTTGAGAAAGGATGTAGGATACATCCGAAAATTAGTTGTTAATAGATTTATACATATATTAGGTCTTTCCTTCAACTTCACTCCAATACTACGGCATTGTAGTAAGTTTATCAAAAACAATAATCAATAATGTTTGAAAATAGCAAGACATGGGTTGACATTTAGGGGTAAGGTCGGTTACTTGGAGATTATTAGGTAGTACTTGGTTTTTATCTTAAACTGGCTGAGAGAGGTACAGAGGTACAGCCTTTGACATAATTGGGAAGGTCATTCCACATTCTGGGTCCCTTGATTTGTAGAGAATTTCTAGTTTGGTTAAGGTGCACTCTTGGAGTATCAAAAAGGTATTTGTTTCTGGTGTGGTGCCCATGGGTTCTGTTACAACTTTCTAGAAGGCGTTTAAGCTCAGAATTGGCATTACAGTTCAGAGTTTTAAATATATAGAGTACACTTGAGAGGATGTGCAGCGACTTAATATATAATAATAATATACCTTACCTGAATAAACATCTGAATCTGAATCTGAATCTGATAACACGTTCAAATATTTAAGTAAGGGGCTGATTGCTGTCTGGAGCTAGAGTTTGTTATTGTTCTAATAGCATATCTGTATTGGGTAATTAGAGGACGTAGATGATTTTGGGTAATACAACCCTAAGCACAGATACTATAATTGAGATAACGATAGATGAGAGAGTAATAGAGTTTTTCAAGGGCAGGGCGAGGTACATAATATCTGATCTTAGAAAGAATGCCAACAGCTTTAGAAACTTTTTTTGCTATATATTGAATGTGGCCCTGTGGCCTCATTAAGATAAGACTGACGGTATTGGAGGACGTGACCTCTGACTCCATAATGATGTAATTTAAGAAGAAAGTTGTGGTTAACAGTGTCAAAAGCCTTACGTAGGTCAACAAATAACCCAACAGGGAACTCATTTTTATCAAGAGCTGCATGTATCAAGTTAATCATACTAATTAGTGCATCATTGATGCTTTTTTTTAGTCTGAAGCCATATTGGCAAGAGCTAAGTATATTGAGTTTAGCTAGATAAGAGTATAGCTGCTTATAGATTAGCTTTTCAAATATTTTAGACAAGATTAGCAGAATTGATATAGGTGTGAAATTATTGACATCAGTGAGATCACAACATTTGTGGACTAGGGTTACTCTTGCTTTTTTTTAGAATATCTGGAAAGGTTTGGAGTTCAAGTGATTTGTTGTAGAGCAATGCAATGGCCGGAGCTAGAAATCTAGTTTTTTGTCAATTACAGTTGGTATCTCAGCAAGGGCACTCGACTGTTTTAAGACAAAGTATTAGCTCATTAATATCAGAGGAATTAGTGGGAGTTAGGTACAGAGACTCTGGATAGTTACCAGTAAGGTAGTCCTTAACATTAGTTATTCACTCCTAATTCTTCTCTATACCTAGTCATAAAAGTATTTGTACACGTTTCATTGAATATATATATATATATATATATATATATATATATATATATATATATATATATATATATATATATATATATATATATATATATATATAATTAACAGAATATGACACACTCCTAAGGTCAATAACCGTGAAAGTGTTAAACCTCTCCCTGCAAGATGACCAATGGGACCAAGCAACGCTCCCAGTTAGACTCGGGGGGATAGGTATTCGCAAGGCGACACAGTTAGCATTGCCGGCATTCTTATCCTCGACCAGTGCAACAGGTGAATTAGTTAAGGAAATACTACCGGAACACCTAAGAGACTTCATTGGGATTCATGATCCCAAATTCGCGGAAGGAGCCGGTCAGTGGGACACTCTTGTCAACTCTCATCCTCGACCGACTTTTCCAAATGACTGCAAACAGTCCAAATGGGATAGCCCCATAGTGGAGAGATAGCCCCATAGTGGAGAACATCGCCACATCATTGCTGGAGGCAGCTTCCAGGAAGGACAAAGCGCGTCTTCTAGCTGTGCAAGCTCCCCATGCCGGGGACTTCCTGTTGGCAGTCCCTAATTCCGCCTTGGGTACCCGCCTGGACCATCGGACCCTAAGTATTGGTGTTGCTCTGCGCCTTGCCGCCCCTATCTCCACCGAGCACCGGTGTATTTGCGGCCATGTACGGGCAGACCAATACGGCATCCATGGTCTCATCTGTCGTAAGACACAGGGAAAGATTGCCAGACATGAAGCAGTCAATGACATCATCAAGAGAAGTTTGGCTTCAGCTGGGTGCCCAGCACAAAGGGAACCTCAGTTGTGCAGGCCTGACAACAGCCAAAAACGCCCAGATGGAGTCACCCTGCAGCCGTGGAGGGAAGGTAAACAGGTCGTGTGGGACTACACGTGTGCATCCACATTGGCTCATGGTATACCCCTATATATATATATATATATATATATATATATATATATATATATATATATATATATATATATATATATATATAATTGAATTGAATATATTGAACGTAATTTCCTATCACTTGAGAATGAACCATGTAGGTTCGAAACGTTGTGTAATTTCATAATAAGTGTAATACATTCTACAAGTTGTTTTTTTCTTCACCTTGAGCGAGGATGACTTTTGGAGAACTCCTCTTCCAGTTAAACCAAGATGCAGGAGCACTAGTTAGAGGGATACAAGCCCTAAACAATAAAATAATTAATACAGAATTTGCAGTCATATTCAATGAAACGTGTACGAATGAAAACCTGCTGCCAGTATATACTAAAAAAGTATTTGTGTGTACGTCTGATACCATTCTACTTGTGTAAAGGAAGAAATGTGTATGTTTATCTCTCAGAATGTTCAGTAATATGCTTATTGTTTGTGATGTGTGTCTATATATGTATAAGCACGTTGTACTGAACGGGGTGAGACTAGCTTGAGCTACATCGTCCCTTGATGTATGTATTTTCACCTCAATACAACTTATTTTTCAATTTTAATTTTTCTCTAATGAAGAACTCGAATGTCAGGAACATTAAAAATCTGCTTGTTTTACGACCAGACGGTTTGGATAACGTAACACTCCAGAAACTTAGTTAAATTGCATTAGTAACTATAGTTAATCAGGTGCGATAACAAGCTAGAACCTGCGCGTACTAGTGGCTTTACAAGAGTGCAATTACTGTACTATGCTATGTATTCTCACAAACACAATGTACCTTCTTGTATATAAATAAATAAATAAATAAATAAAAATAAATGTTGACAGTGTATAAGCACTCTTAGGAAATTCAAATCCCATCTTACCTTTATTATTAAATATAGAATAATCTGAGGCGTATGAAGTAGGATGTTGCGCGTCCATGGTGTCTTGCAGGTGTTGATATCGGTGTACTGGCCGCAAGGTCTTGATATCATGCTGTGTGCTCCCTAGACCTCTCGGCCACCACCAGGGCTATCTTCTTCATTTTTATCTTATCGCCCACTGGTACTTACTGTTTCAAGTATTTTTATAAGGTTATCTTTTGAAACAACTCATTATTTTTTAATCATACATATATTAATTTATTGATTAGGCTTGCATCTCATGCTCTGGAAATTAAGATTTTGAAGCATACCACATTAATTAACTCTGATATGTCAGCTACTAATCACCAATGACACTTGCAATCAAATTCACTAACTATTAATGACATCACTAATTGCAGGAATCATTTAGGGCAGCCGAAATTAACGAGTGTTTCCCAGCAAGATGGTTAACTTGCCAGAAGCATTCTGTCCAACACATGGTCAGGTGAAGCGTCGAATATGAGCCGCCGCGAACATAGTATCAGTAGACTGACTCCAAGAGTGCACGGGAGACATCTCCCGTCACGCAGGGTGCAGCCGCACCTCCACAGATCTCTTGTATCAGCTCTTGATACTGGTAATGGCTCAAAAGGGCCACCACTTACGGGCTATTCATGCCCGTGCCAACTCTTGGGTGGCTTAATCTTCATCAATCAATCAATCCAAGAGTGGTCCAAACTCTCTGGATATGCCCCGGATCTTATCCAACACCATCGACATTTGTCGCCAAACAGGAGGGTTGAGTCTTTGTTGTAACCTGCTGACACAAACGGGAGAATGGTTGGGCAATGTTCCTGTACTGCGGGGAGGACGACTTCCCTTTTGACCGAGTTGAAAGCGTATTTTAAATCTAATTTTACTACTGCCTGGTCTTCAGTAAGAGAACTAATGTAGGTTCGTGCAGCATGGACCGCTGCTTCACAGCCTTGGGGGACTCCAAATCCCAGCTGGTTGGGTTGCAGCATGGTGGCTGCTTCCATTCGGATACTTCTGACAGCAGCAATTGCAACTAGGCGGCGAAGGGTATTACCAACAGCAATGGGTCTGATCCCTCCCCCTTTCTTTTTCAGGGCACATAGGAATGCACCAAAGAAGAATGGTATGATTTCATCAGGGATTAACCCCGCGAGGCAGTTGTTGACAAACGTTGTGAATTCTGTCAGGAGCGCTTCTGCAGCTGGGCCAAGAACAGGGTTCACCATTTCCTTCACATGTTGAGGTCTTACCCCTGTGTAGCCTCCTGAGGAGCCCGGGGGAAATGAAACGATAGCTTTATAAAACTCTGACTCCGGAGGACGAGCGGTTCCTGGTTAGGGGGGACCCTGACCTGTGGGGGAGGTCCACCTACGGCCCTGAGGGGGTGTTTTTCTCTCAGTGCTTGGGCTGTGGTTTATCCCTGGGCAAAATTTTGTCCTTGTGATCAACCTGAGTTCCCCGACTGTGTTGCCCTATTTAATTTTCCTGCTGATTTGGGTACCTAATTTTCTGTTGTTGCTGAGGATCTTACTCGGTCTGGCGGGGCGGTGTTTGGGGAGGCGGATTAGGTTGTCAATCCTAGCAAAATCCCTAATTGCTTTATTGATGGATGAGGCCAGTGTCTTGCCTCCTCTGTTTGGTACACCTAAGCATACGTTGCTAAAAAGTAACAGATTGTGCCAGGCTTTGATGATATCTGGTTCATCATGGGTATTTGACCCTCTGTTGACTTTTCCGATGAAGTCTGTGTATTTCCCGGCAGCAAATAGGCGATATATTTGTTGCCGGGAAATCCGGCAGCAAATAGGCGATAATAAAACACACAACAAGTGTGTGTTTTATGCCCGAAATGGCATGCCTTTCAAGCCCGAAACGCTTTGCGTAATAGTGGCTTTAGGCATTGTATGTACTAGCTCTATCTATAAGTCCACCAATCTTTGTAAAAATTTCTTGTATGTATGTACCTTACCTAAATAAACATTTATTTTATTTATTTATTTATTTATCCTATATATGGTAATACAGTGTTTACTTCATTTATTATGCACCCCATACCCATCTTGAGGGCGGTAGTGGAAAGAATTAAAGAGGCACATAATGGGCTCAGGGACTGAACCCCACAAATCATTTAGCTAAACAAGTTATAATCTTGATGAGCTAGTTACAAGATTCAATGCACTGATTGGCAGTTATTGTTTATTGTTGTTGTGATTAGCGAGGTTACTGTGAGGGGAAGGGCGATCAGCTGGTGAGAGAGACGGGTACGGGAGACACTTAAGGGGGAGATCTTCCTCCTGTCTTATCCTTATCATGGCTATTACTGCTGCTGCTCTTTAACCACCAGGCCAAGATAACGAGGGAGAGGTTATCTTACGAGGTAAATGAGGTAGAAGTAAGAGGGGGGGTCTTCTAGCTTTGAGAAAGGGGGGTTTGGTGTGTTGGAGATTGGCTGGGTTATTTGATCGTGTTCCCTGTATACAAGATTACATATATATATCCTCCCAAATCCCTCCATCATCTCTGTGTATGTATTATTGACTGTAATGGCTGTAATCTTTTGTAATGCGTGATAGAAGCCCGTGGTCATGGCTGGCAGCCAGTCTGACCTTGGCACTCCAGGCACTAACACTGACTGCTTCACATACTCGCACCACTACGGTAATCACTAGTATGGTCTAACAGCATACTAGTTGCTCAAGTATAGCACATACCCACTGTGGTATAATGACACTAGTATGTCAAAATCACTTCAGACTGATTTTTGCACCTAACCTGTTAACAGTATGTGCATATGTGTGAAACATATTGTATAGTGTTTGGTGTATTGAATGGATACAAGAGTACCAAATACAGTTTTTATAAAGTGAATTTATGTATATCATTTATGTATGTATGTGTATATCGTGATCTAGCATCTGAAGATGTGTGGAGTGTGATACTAAGTGTGTGTTTGGGCTACTGAAATGTCTTCCAAGATGTTAAGCCAGTGAGGCTTGTTTGATATACATCAGTAAACAAGCTATATTTTATATTATCAGTAATATGTTGATCTTTAATTCACAGGAAAGTATAGATTGGAAACATATTGAAATCTATCAGTAATTGGAAACATATTAAAATCTATCAGTAATTGGAAACATATTGAAATCATTCTCAAGTCGACCATCAACTTGAGAATGGTCCAGGACGGACCGAAACGTCGTTGTCCCTTCACCTTCTAGTGTGTGGTCTGGTCAACATACTTTAGCCACGTTATTGTGACTCGTCGCCTGCATATTAAAATCTATCTACATTATTATCAGTAATATGTTGCTGTATAATTCGCAGGAAATTATAGATTGGAAACATATCGAAATCTTGTGTAAACTAAGTAACTGATGCATGTTTTGAAGTTGCAATACTTAGCCTCAAGTCTAAATTACAACATAAGTTGTACTTTGCTTATCGTACTACCGAGATGGTAATTTTTAGCACTAAATGCTTTGATCACTATTGTTTTTTTACCTAAAAGAAAATATAATTTGCTGCTTAGGGAGAGAAAAACAACAGTTTTGAGCTAACTGCTGTTGGGTTAATTTAGTCCTCGGCTAAACCTGCCCTTGCTAAATGTTACCTAAAATAATACTGTGGTGCACGAGCTCTGAAAATTTGAAACGTTGATAATACTGGATGCACTTGGAGAAAAAAAAAAAAAAAAAAGGAGGCGTTTCGGTTGATTGGGTTCACAACTGCTAGTGTGAGTGAGCAGATGGACTTTGAATAGAAGGATTACACTTGATTAACAAGTCATTGCATGCCACGATTATTACTGAAGTATGCAAGTGATGTTTGTTGCAAAGTGCATATGTTTGTGTGTACTGTATGTGTGATACAAAAACTCTTAGAGACCTCTAAGAGTCTACCTCTGTAGACTCTTAAGAGACCTCTAAGAGGAAAATGCTGTTAACATATTATTTTCTTATGATAAATGACTGAGCAGTACAATAATTGGTTGATAGTTTTGGTTCTGTACATCTCGCAAAGTACAGTGCTTATTCAGGAAAAAATTGAAAATTGTCAGAATAATGAACCCTGAATTTAAATTAAGATAGGCTAGGGCACATTGTGTTTAGATAGTTTAAGACCAGCTACATTGGCTTACTTAGAATATGATATGAGGTTAGCGTTATACATGAGAAATATATATACTTTCTACATAGTACTCTGAGCATTTTTATGAGTAGTTAATTTTGGTATCTGATTTTCCACAAGGTTCGAACATTCTGGGTTTTTGGAGTTTAGTTAATTTAAGATGTAAGTACAGTACTGTAATGATCATACTTTTAGCTGAAATATATTATATTGCACCTCTATTTGTGTGTTCCTATTTTTTTCAGTCAAAGGTACAACTTCTCGGCATAAGGTAAAATGAGTTCAGTACCTCCCGAACCAACGAAAGCTGAAATAGACCAACTTCGAAGTGCTGCACTGCAGAAGGTTGACTCTGAGGGTTTGGTATTCGATCCCCAAGATGTAAACAGAATACGTAATGATGACAAATACATTAGACGATTTTTGATGCATCACGACAATGACCAGAAGTTGGCCTTGGAGATGGTGATGGAAACCCTCAAGTGGAGATATGAAAACCAGTGCAATAGTAAGAACAGTATAATATGGTACTTTGGTTCCGTTTCTGTTATTCCCAGTTGCTTATTGAGTCTTCTGTAAACAATGATAGCCTTTCAAAACTATTCCTCTTTGTTGATGCCATATTTAGAATCTGTGCACAAATCCACAAGGGCCGTGACGAGGATTCGAACCTGCGTCCGGGAGCATCCCAGACACTGCCTTAATCGACTATATTAATAATTAATTGCCCTTGTGGATTTGTTCATTTGATGCATCATGTTAGTGTGATCTCTGTGTGTGAAAATCTGTGCAGTTAGGGCAGGTTACCTTGAGGTTACCTTAAGGTGCTTCCGGGGCTAAGCGTCCCCGCGGCCTGGTCGTCGACCAGGCCTCCTGGTTGCTGGACTGATCAACCAGGTCAAATATACTGCACAGCTAATTGGTTTCAGTTTTGTTTCTGCAAGCCACTTCCATTGCAACCTTGTACTGTACAATGATTTCAATAAATTTACATTTTCTATAAAAAAAATTCATTTACTTCTTAAAACTGCCTTATTCATTCCAACATTCACTACTCATTTTTAATTTATTTCTGTACTTACTTGGGACTTGTGACCTGATTGACCATGCAGAATAATGGACACATGATCCTTGTGTAGACATTGTCCCGAAGGTTCATCTCACCGAGGCTGGTATGTCCACTGACCAGTGGAGCTTGTTGGTATCTATAAATAAGACTTTTTTGTTTACCCAGTTTTCTTTTTCAGCAATTACTGTGGAGAGTATACCACCAGAGTTCTTTGCAAAAGGTGCCATGTATGCACATAATCGTGATAAGGATGGGTGCAAGATGTTGATATTTGCAGTACGTCACCATCAGAAAGGCGTTCTTGACATGGACTTGCTCAAAAAGTTCTTTATATACTGGCTTGAAAGGCTGGAAAGGTAAACGGTTCCTCTGTTCTCATTGTTATAAATACGTACCTCGTTTATAATAAGCTTCGTTACTTGATATAATTTTTTCACTCCCATCCTCCTGTTTAGATATTGAAATTGAAATTGAAATAAGTTTATTGAGGTAAAATACACACAAAGGGATGAGGTAGCTCAAGCTATTCTCACCCCGTTCAGTACATCGTGTTAATACATACATAGACACACATCACAAGCAATAAACGTATTACCGAACATTCTGAGAGATAAACATATACATTTCCTCCTTTACACAAGTACTTACAGAGACGATGTGGGCCATGGTACATATATTGACATATTGAACAATTAAAAAGTAGAATTTGGTACTATTGAATTTGGACAAATTGGTAAAGGTTTTGTATGAATGCTGCTAATTAAACTTAACCTAACCATCCTCGGCCTAATGCCTGCTGTCTGAGGCCTAACATAGTACATATATGTGCTATACTAGTCCAGGAGTATTTAAGCTTGGTTTTTAGCTTTATTTTTTCTGGGCACACTAAAAGTGAATACAGTACAGTAGTACCAAATTCTAATTGTCCATTATGTCAATATATGTTCGATGGTCCACATAGTTACAAAAAGTACTGTATTATCTGAACAGGAAAAGAGGTTGAATTTTATATAGTAAATTTTTGCAAAGATGCTATTGAAACTGTGATATTTTCTTTGTACCTGCTTAACATATTTACTACTGAAGGCAGGAGAAATTTGAATTTACCTGAAGCTACCTAAGGGGCCACTATCTGGTGGCCTTGATGAGGACAAGAAACCAGCAACTTGTCAAATGTCTCCAATTTGTCCTGATGATTTTACCAAGCTGGATTTTAAAATTCAGCAGTGTTAGCAGTTATGGCTTAGGGAGGTAGGCCGTTCCAAGGGTTTATAACCCTGTAGGTGAAAAAGCATCTTCTGCTTTCTGTGCTACATTGTGGTTTGTTGAGCTTGAATCTGTTGCTCCTCGTTTGTGTTACATCTGACCTTTTGAAGAAGTGGTCTGGATCAATATCCTCCAAGTTGTTCAATATTTTAAAAGTTTTGAGTTTAGCTCTGTCATGTCCATTTTGCAGTGTTGTTAGCCCTGTGGCCTTCAAATGTTCTTGGTATTGGAGTCGAGTTAGTTCAAGAATGATCTTTGTTGCCCGGTGCTGGTCTATCTGCAAAGCAGATATGTCTTTCTGAAGCTTGATAGTGACCTGCAGAGTGAAAGTATGATGAAATTTGTACCTAATGAGTTTAGACATAATGTTGACAGGTATGTAAATAAATGGGCAAATGAATATACCAGGGGCAAAATGTTTCTCGATGTATAATTATCGCAACTGTGTTTACATATTTAAACATAATAATTATAATTTAAAAAAATTTCAGAGAGGAAAATGGAGAATGGATAACTGTGTTCTTTGACATGTGTGATACTGGAATGAAGAATATGGATATGGAGTTTATTCAGTATATGATTACCCTTTTCAAGAATTATTATCCTTGGTTCCTTAACTACATCATCGTGTTTGAGATGCCATGGTTGCTGAGCGGTGAGTACGCACCTTTGTCTCTATTTTGTTAACGAGATATTTGTTCATATATAACAATTAAATGTATACTTCTAATGAAATCCACTTTGTCTGTAGCACATTTATTGTGATATATAAATATTAAGCAAATAGAATTGGCATAAGGTGTTGAGTAGCAGTTGATGGGTAATTGATCTCAATGAGAAAGAGGAGTGGACCAGGGGCCAGATTCACGAAAGCACTTACGCAAGCACTTACGAACCTGTACATCTTTCCTCAATCTCTGGCGGCTTTGTTTACAATTTTTAAACAGTTAATGAGCTCCGAAGCACCAGGAGGCTGTTTAGAACAATAACAACAGTTGATTGGGAAGTTTTCATGCTTGTGAACTGTTTAACAATTGTAACCAAAGCCATCAAAGATTGAGGAAAGATGTACACGTTCGTAAGTGCTTATGTGAATCTGGACCAGGTATACTACCATGAGGAATGTCTGTGTTAGTTGTCGGTGGGAGAAATGGCATCATTCACAAACAAACTGGTGCCGGTCACTGAGGTAAGAGTGTAAATACTGTATTGAAGGGCATTCACTTTGGAACAACACTATGGAACCCTGATTCCATGGTGTTGCAGTTTGAGGTTGTTGTAGTTGTCAAAAATATTTTAATGTAAGGAAGAATGTAATGAGTATGACGGTCTAGAGACCATGTTTTAATTTCAGGTGCCATCTGGGTACTACCTTTTTGGGGGGTAGGTAGGTAGTAGGTTATTAAGTGGAGACTTAATTTGACAAACTTGTGACTACAAGAAAGTCGGTTCTGTTACAGTTTTAGCCTGACAGTCATGGTTGTGGCCCAGAGAACATAGTGAAACTTTTCTTGGGGGCCAACTGGGACAGCTTGGCTCAAGTTGCTTTTTGTATTTACTTGGCTGTATCAATGGGCCAGTTTTTGTACTGTATGTGCATGTTTTTGTCGTTTTCCAGCTATGTGGAAAATTATTAGGACGTGGCTGCCTCCAAAATCAATAGAGAAGATCAAATTTGTTGACAAGAAGTCAATACAGGACTTTGTGGACCTAGACCAGTGTCTGGCCAGCTGGGGCGGCACTGACAACTACGAGTACCAGTTTGAGCCAGAGTTTATTCCAGGGGATGAACCCACCTCCAATGGTGACTTAGAGTCCCGCAAAGTGAGATCTGATTTTGTTTTGTAAAAGTGACTTGCCTAAAAGAATATTAGCCTCGATGAGATGTAGATTATCACAAAATAATAAAATAATGATGGCTTTGTTTATAGTGTTACAAAATTATTTGATAGTCTTTTACCAGTTTATCTGGTTGACTACATAATCCAGTAGATACTATCATCTCGTAAATTTCTTGCTGTGCTATTTGACAGCAGTTTCTCACCACTTTAAACGGTGAAATAATATATTCACTGACAATTACCAGGTTTATTTACTTATTTAGATATTGTTAAAAAGTAACTGAATACAAAAAAAATCTTGCCTAACTTAATCTAATATTGTAGTATATATTAATCTTGAGAAAAAAAAATTGGCTATGAATGAAATTAGTGTTAAAATCACAACTGGTACTCTCATTCCTGCATCATTAGCACCATGTTTAATATTCTACCGAGAAACAAATATTTATATTTTCAGGTTCATTTTGCGGAAGGAAGTGCCTTGCCACCACTCTCGCCATTGAAGGGTAAACTACAGGGTCAACGGGTAGCTGCAACCAATGGAGGTCAGTTTATTTCCTTACCACCAGCTGAGGGGGAGGATATAACCAAAGTTGTGTACTTGCCTAGTTGCACTTGCCTAGTTGTGTTTGCAGGGGTTGAGCTTTGGCTCTTTGGTCCTGTGTGTGCCTGTGGCTGAGTGAGATGATGATGAGTGTTTCTACAAAAGTAAAAAATGGAGTTAATAAATAGAAGAACCCACAGGAAGTAAATAAATTTAAAACTCGAGAGCAATCAAATTTGTAAATGCATGGCTATAATATGGTATACTGTAGTGTTCACATAAACTTGTGATAGGATTCCAGATGTTAGAAAAGAGGTTCAGTACTGTATTTGATTCATGAAAATAAATCTGATAATGTGACTTTCACAGTAAGCTGGCTGCAAGAGTAAGTAATGGTACATTTTTAGATGAGGATGCCCAAGGAGGGAGTAAGACATCTGAGCTCTAGATAGTGAACTGTCCTGTGATGGTGTATTATGGCATCTTTAGTGATATTTAGTGCACTTTGAATATCCTGCGACTTCGATGGTTATCTTCTTATCTTGAGATGATTTCGGGGCTTTAGTGTCCCCGCGGCCCGGTCCTCGACCAGGCCTCCAGACCAGGTTGCCACACAGTCTCCCCAACTTGGTGCGTTCTCTTTATAATTACGTACTTGATGGTGTGTTAGGTTCTTTACCTTCCTCATAGCAAACATGGACATACTTCATCGGATACCAAGAAATTTGCCCTCGGGTTACACAGCAAAGCCGCAATAGGCAATCTAACAAATGCACTTTACAATATAAATTGGGAATCTGAATTCAGTAATACACAGGATTAGCCAACATCTTCCTTTCCAAAACTTTAAGCTTCTACATCACGCACTGTCCTCTCCTCACCAAGCAAGTAACTGCCAAAAGATTAAACGACCGCTGGCTTGCATGTGGCATACTCAAAAGCAATCGACACAACCTGAATATGAAACAAAACATTGGATTGGCCTGGTTACAGAAGAATTAGTTAAGAGATGCTCATCAATGCTTACAACTATAATAAGAAGAGCAAAACTTTCATATTATGAGAGTAGATTCAAAGAAGCAAAAGGAAACATGAAAATCACATGGAAAGCCATCTCAAACATCCTAGGATTTAAACAACAATCACATAACAAGCAGATGAAACTCTCCAAGGATGGTTACACACTTGCAACAGATTTAGAAACAGCAACTGAATTTAATAGTTTCTTTTCATCAGTTGGTGGTAACCTTGCCAGAAAAATCCCACAGACTTAGACTCGTATTACTACATAGCTTACCGTCAGCTATCCTAACTCTCTTCTCCTTTTACCAGTCAGCCAGGCAGATGTTATATCCATCATTCGTTTACTAATAACCAAAGCTGGGAACACTAGTGAAATACCATCTATGGTATACAAGAGTACCACTCATGCCCTTGCATCACCCATAGCTCTGGTATTCAATAAATCTATAGTGTCATACTTTCCCCTGATATCCTTAAAAAGGCACAAGTAATGCCAGTTCATAAAGGAGGCTATACGGCTGACATAAACAATTACAGACCGATATCTAATCTACTTATATTATCAAAAATATTTGAAAAACTATTTACAAGTGGCTCTCTTCCTATCTTGTAAAATTCAACATATTAAGTCCTTGTCAGTTTGGCTTTCTCTCCCAAAAGAGTACCATCGATGCCATTGTTAGTCTGCGTGATATAATCTAATCAAACACACTTTGGTTCTGCCAAAGTGTGACCTTTCCAAAAAAAAAAAATAATAATTCATGAGATAATTATGTATTCCTTTTCAAATAGTTGTTGATGACCAAAATGCACTGTAGAAAGAGCTGGTGTTTGTAAAAAACATAACAAAGTTGTTAAGGGTAAATGGCATAAATGGACAAAAGAAGATGGGATGGGAGGTGAAGGGGGGTATTATTAATTTGAGATGTTGACCAGACCATACACTAGAAGTTGAAGGGACGACGACGTTTCGGTCCGTCCTGGACCATTCCCAATCGACTTGAGAATGGTCCAGGACGGACCGAAACGTCGTCGTCCCTTCAACTTCTAGTGTGTGGTCTGGTCAACATACTTCAGCCATGTTATTGTGACTCATCGCCTGCATTAATTTGAGATTTAAGACTTTCCAGTTCACATGATGATTACTTGTATGCCATCACATTCACCTGATGGTATACTCTCTCTTTCAGGTGTGATGATAGAAATTGAACCAAGCGAAGGGCTGATGTTTAGTAATTGTCGCATTGGTGCTACAGCAAATATAGTACTGACCAATCCTACTGCTTCCCCTGTAGCTTTCAAGGTAGGCATTTGCAGTGCATTTAGTAAGTTGTGTATCTTTTTAATTAAAACTGCACTACAAAGAGTTTCCATGTGTCATACAGACTATTTCTAGGGCCTGGCATTTTTCTCATATTTAGACAGTGTTTTCATGTAACTAGGTGAATGTAGCTGTATTTTGTTTTGTTTTAATACAAAGGGGTTTCCTGCCCTATTGAAAGTGCTTCACATATGAAAGTGTTTTGCTTGTTTAGTGTTTTATTGTTACTTGGTTTGACAAATTCAACTTTTAAAACCTTTAGTTTATACATAGTCTAAAGTGTTGCAGGAGAGTACCTTTATAATTAAAATAATCTTTGCTTAACCACTGAACTGCGCAACGTGCCTGCAGGCCCTCGAGGGGGGGTGCGCAACGTGCCTCCGGTATTTTTATTTTTAGTGTATGATTCAAAACTCCCGTGACTACATGGGGTTCACATCAGCTTCCTCAGGGGCTCTTGTAAACAGACGCCATTGTTGCCCACCAAAAAAAATGGTGGGCAACATTCCCAGGTGTGAAGGCCACAGTACTGAGTGAGCATCCAAGGCTGGTGCCACAGCAACCAAATATATCGAAGTTTGGCTCTGCTGGCACTTCTTTTTACCCAAGATCTTGGGTTCCAACTGGTTGAATTAACAATCCTTTTTACTCTAGAGAAATGAACTTGCTTCTCTCATATAAGTGTTCTAAAGTGGAATGAGGTTGCCCCAATCTGTAATGTGTCTTTGGGGGGTTCCTCTTTCTAATGTGCTTAACACTTTGGTGCACCCCGCTCGCCACCCCTCAACTGTGCAATATGGGACCCAGGGTGTCACGGGAGTGCGCATAAATTCTGAAAAGTGTATACTCTCTTCAACTTTGTCACCTTAATTCTCGTCCTACGAGATTAAATTTGGTATCATTGTGTTCGCAATAGAATTCTCTACAGCACTAAATGCATATAAACTCCAAAAGCCCGGCTAATTACCTGCAGCAAACAGAGAAAGTGCGAACGAGTTACCCAGGAGCGCGCAAACGCGATAAAATGTTTTCACTATTTTCACTCTGGTCACCTCAATTTTTATCCTAGGTCTTTCATTTTGGTCTCAATGGGTTTGCAATAGAATTCTCTAGAGGAACATTAGCATATAAAATAAAAAAACCTGGTCACGCTCCAACCGCCGACGAGTTGAAGACGGGCCACGCGTTAGCCGCGAGTGAGTGCTCAGCCGCCTTCCAGCTACACTCCCAATTCCCGCCCTTTTCAAGCCTTTCTTTCGCAATTTTCTTCCTGGAAGGGCCTTGTTCATGATCACTATCCATCGTGGAGTAAGTGTAGATAGTTTCTAAAGCCGCAGTAAGAAATATAGCCATGGAAAATAGCCGAAATGTTCACACGTTTGAGATGCGAGGGAAGGCGACATTGGTCACAACAGTGGAGCGAAAACAATGGGCCCACGGCATGTGCCAAGCTGCCTGAGAGCCACGAGGCTCAACAAAGAAAATGGGAAGACATCGGCGCACATTTTAAAACCAGTCCCAAAAAAATCGGATAAAAACCTGATTTTTGGCGATTATTTAAAGTGGATGACGCAATGCTGCGTCATCCCCGGAATTACTGCCAGTAAACGGATGACGCAATGCTGCGTCATGGCCGGGCGAAAGTGTTAATGAGGCATTATTTGTTTCTGCTCTTCCCCATGATATGTTTCATAAATGCACCTGTTCCTTTGCAGTCTATTATTCCCTGGATCAGGGTCTTTCCTTTTGTCCTTATTGCAGTTTTTTGTCTCCTTTGATAATTGCATTTTCTAGGTGGCTTTCTTGCTGGCTCAGGCTTCTGAGAGTTGTGTTTGCAAACTTCATACTCTTTGCATGAGGGGTTTTGTCCTGGGTGATTACTATCTCCAACCTTCACTCTTTTTTTGGATAAGAACAATTCCTCTGCATTTGATCAGGCTCCTCTGGTATTAGGTGCTTGGTTTGTCTGGCCAGAGATAAGTCATCCCTCGGTCCTGTTAATGCCGAGTGAAGTTATTTGTATGCTACTTGAGCTTCTCAAGCTGTGACTGCCAATCCTGTTTCCTTTATGCCTGTTCAAAGGCTAAGCTATCTCAGGCTATAGGCTGAACCTAACTACCTGGCATAATGTCTCTCACACATATTCTGTTTGAATTTATGCTGCAATTAGGGTTTTCTTGCCCAAACATTATGTCCTCTCTGATTGTAATGAAATTTTCCATTCTGGGCAGCCTTGGTAGCTTCCCCATACCCACCAATCTTTGCTCGTCTCGTCTTTGCTGTCCTGAAGACAGCATATGATTACCTAAGTGTAGTTACAGGATAAGAGTTATGCTCATGGTGTCACATCTTCCCAGCACTCTGTCATGTAATGCTTTGAAACTACTGTAGCCGGAGCCAGTCGGCCGAGTGGACAGCACGCTGGACTTGTGATCCTGTGGTCCTGGGTTCGATCCCAGGCACTGGCGAGAAACAATGGGCAGAGTTTCTTTCACCCTATGCCCCTGTTACCTAGCAGTAAAATAGGTACCTGGGTGTTAGTCAGCTGTCACGGGCTGCTTCCTGGGGGTGGAGGCCTGGTCGAGGACCGGGCCGCAGGGACACTAAAAGCCCCGAAATCATCTCAAGATAACCTCAAGATACTGATAGTGTTGGCCTCTACCACCTTCTCAATTAACTTCTTCCAACTGTCTACCACTCTGTTTGCAAAAGTGAATTTTCTTATTTCTTCAGCAGCTTTGTTTAGTTAGCTTAAAACTATGACCTATTCATCATAGATTTATTTGTCATGGACCTAAATCTATTTGGTCTTGAAGTACCAGGTATCGGGATTTCTTCCCTATCAATTTTGTCGATTCCCGTTACTATTTTGTACATATTGGTCATAGTATTTCCTCTTTTTCTTCTATTTTCTGATTTTGGCATATTTAATACCTCTAACCTCTCCTCGTAGCTTTTGTCCTTCAGTTCCGGGGAGCCATTTAGTTGTATGTCTTTGCACCTTTTCCCTGTGATAGAGGATGCATGTAGGCTGAACCATTAGTCAGAATTTTACAGTATTGTGACAAGACTGAATTAAGAAGACAATTAAGCCTGAATTAATTAACCTGAATTAAGAAGACAAAACTACAAGAACAACTTTAGAAAAGAGCAAGAGCAAAGATAATGATATGATTACATTTAAAATAGAAGGAAATGGACAAACTGAACAAAGCCAGCATCTTTAAATTGAAAGCAAAATAGAACAGGCAGACATGACTTGTAAACAAGTTGAATGCACTGAAAGAAGTCATGAAGACCACATTAGTCTACAACTTCAAAGGTGAAAGACATTCTGTCAAACAACTTCAAACACCAAAGATCCTTATTAACATCATGCAAGTTAAAATATAAAACAGACCAGGTACAAAAATAATAAAGATGTAGACCCTGCTCCTCTGTAGTCACTATTAAGTAAACACAGACATAACCCCCAACCATGAGCCTGTACATAGCTCGGCAAGCTCTACTCGCTACACCATCCCGAGATATCTAGACTGGAAATACATTTTTTTAGGGCTCTCATTCCATCAAACCATATCTAGCTTGATTTTGTTGTGGATTTATTTTAGCCATATACAGTACTTTAGTTTTTGATAAATGCTTGACAAATAGATGCTTCATCAAAGTCAATCCGTCTAAGTGACTAATGTAATTGAAAAGGATGAATGGCTACAGTATAGTGGAAGAAATTTGTAAGCATTTTTTTACCATTACTTCTAAGACTAATCACTTCTGCATTCTTTCTTCAGATAAAGACTACATCTCCAGAGAAGTATCGTGTACGTCCTTCAGTAGGTATTCTGGAGGCTGGCATACAACTGGAGATTAGTGTAACTGTGAGTGAACAGTTGGCACCTTCAGCTCTAGTTCGTGACAAGTTTCTTGTGATGGGAGCTCCAGCGTCCTCAAGTAACCTCAGCTCTCAGGAAATTTCTCAGTTATTTAAGGTTAGCAGGCATAAATTATATTTTATATTTTTTAAAAGCTAGCATGGGATACACAAGTCACTAATAGAGAAAGCATCATATTTATAATACTATTGCCAGTTTAATTTTCATTGTAAATGAGGAAAAAATTTAAGTTTTACAAATAGTCTTTTTCATTATACTCCAGAATATTGCTAAAGAGGAACTCTTTGAGACACGTCTACGGGTTGGCGTCTCTGCTGCAGATGCTGCCTCTGATGCCTTGACAACTTCCGCTTTAAAATCATCATCAGTCTCTCCTGAGCTCTTGTCAAAGGTCAGTCATCGAAATAAAGTGTGTGTTCCCAAACAGTATTCATATACAAACACACTGTATGTACAGTGTATTTATATATATATATATATATATATATATATATATATATATATATATATATATATATATATATATATATATATGTCGTACCTATAGCCAGAACGCACTTCTCAGCCTACTATTCAAGGCCCGATTTGCCTAATAAGCCAAGTTTTCATGAATTAATGTTTTTTCGTCTACCTAACCTACCTAACCTAACCTAACCTAGCTTTTTTTGGCTACCTAACCTAACCTAACCTAGCTTTTTTTGGCTACCTAACCTAACCTTACCTATAAATATAGGTTAGGTTAGGTTAGGTAGGGTTGGTTAGGTTCGGTCATATATCTACGTTAATTTTAACTCCAATAAAAAAAATTGACCTCATACATAGAGAAAAGGGTTGCTTTATCATTTCATAAAAAAATATAGTAAATATATTATATTCAGGAAAACTTGGCTTATTAGGCAAATCGGGCCTTGAATAGTAGGCTGAGAAGTGAGTTCTGGCTACTAGGTACGACATATATATATATATATATATATATATATATATATATATATATATATATATATATATATATACTCTTGCTTGGATTCAATTTAGACTTGATTGTGTGTCCAGCTTCCATTAATATCCCCCCTTGTCCTACCTCCTTTTAATTTCCACAACCAGCTCATGTACTGCCTCTGTTTTTTTGCAATTTTGCTGAGAGCTGCACAGTGTTTTCTGGAGATTATGCTGTGTCACCCCATTTAATTCAAAGCTAGTCTCTGGTGCTTAATGTTTTCTGGGTGGTTCTTGGTGGTATTTTTCCCCCCACTGATAGCCGTTATTGATGGGTTGAGTCGTCTCCAGTGCCTAGAATGTTGTCCTGCCTATTGGTATATGAACCTTGCCTGACACTCGGGATACTTGCCCTTTGAGAGCGACAAACTCTTTCTGCTTGGAAAAGTGAATTTCGTATTTTTGTTGCATTTCAGATCGATCAGCTTCTTCATCGCCAGTCTGCCGTAGAAGAGCAACTTCGTACAGCCAAGAAATTCGTCTTCATTACGCTCATTGTGATGATTGGGATCCTCATTTTTGTAGTCATGGCAACCAACAATATGACCTCTAGTCTTCTTCTGTACACTACAAACAGGCGTAGTGCCAGCACAATGCAAGGTGAAACTATACATAATGAGCAGGAAAATAATGTCGAGTTATAGCATCTTTCTAGTGGGTATACTGTAAGGGAAATTTGCTTCACCTTGAATGATATCGGATATTATTTTCAGTGTGTGATGTAAACTCGTAAGCTCCTCCAGTGCATCTTTAGTTTTTGATTTGATGCTGCGTGTAAACTTGGTGTAAATTTGCAACTTCGATCAATTAGTCATTTTCTATACATATAAATTCTGGTACATAATGGAGCACTGAAGGTGTATAAATGTGTTATGTGGATTATGTGCATATATACCGGATAATATAAATAAATCTTAAAAAAAAAGTGTGTACTGTATTATTATATATAATATACAGTACTCTATACTCTACAATATATTATATACTCTAATATATGGAACATTATCTTATAATAAAGTAATATATGTTGTAATATTATATATAATAATAACTTCTATTGTAGTGGATATCTTTATTTTACTATATTCAAAATTAATTGGCTGTTTAACATGCACAATTATTTTTTTCTGCTGACTGTACCACATTTAGTTTTTTGTGTTATATCTTCAAAATGAAATGATGAGAAACACATTGTTAAAAGTTGTAGAAGTAGATTATATGATGTAGTGTAGATTATAACAATTGGTCTCTTGTTGAAAGAGATTGCTATACCATCAATAGAGTAGTGCTTAGTAATACTAAGTACTGATTAGTAGATACCATCTGCTTAGTGCGAGAGACTTGAAAATTGTAATATGGATTGCAGTCGTATAGTAATTTGCAATTATAGAACTGGGTGTAGTTTGACTATTGGCATATTCAACAGTAAATCCACACATTTTGTCATTCCATTGTTTTTACATTCAGTATTTATTTTTGCCAACAAAGCATTAAAAAAAAAAAAATTTTTCAAAGATACCAAAAAATTTGTAATGAAACTTTAGTTGATGTGCTATGAAGGAAACCTTGCATCATTGAAAAACTATAAAGTACAATTAGGGCCAGGATTCAACGAGCATTTATGCATCTCTTTGTGAACCTGTACATGTTTTCTCAATTTTTGGTGGCTTTGGACTTCCAGGACGAGCGTGTGTCTTGCTTTCCGACCGTCCCTCGCGGTCACTTGTCCCTCGATAGTATTCTAGGGGAATTGGATACTTTTGATATCGTTCGCCTTATGCGTTTTTGTTCTCGTATTGGCATTCTTGGTGATATTTAGCGCCCTCTGATTATTTTGCACTTTGATGGTGCCACATAGCCTTCCCAGTTTGGTGCCTTCTTTTGATAATTACCTTACCTTTGGTGTCTTTGTTTATTAAGCAGTTTATGAACTCCCAAAACACTGGGAGGCTGTTTATAGCAAAAATCAAATTTAGATTTGAAAGTTTCAATGCTCGTAAACTATTTAATGAATGTAAACAAAGCCACTAAATATTGAGAAAGGATGTACAGGTTTGTAAGTACAGGTAGATGAATAAATGCTCGTTGAATCCTGGCCAAGGTAACCATGACAACAGCCAATCACAGCACTATCTTGTGCATGAGGCTGCAAATTGGATTAACCCGAGAGATGCATCGATCCCGAAAGGAAGTTTTTCCTGCGGATCAAACCAGTTTAACAACTATTTTGTATCTCTTTATTTTACATTTATTGATGGCCCACAAAGTCATAAAATACAAGGAACAATGGCTAGGAGAGAAAATAAGTCGGGACAATTTTTTTGATAGGAGTATATTTCATGAGAATTCTGTGTGTGTGTGTTAGGTAGTTTGAATGTGTTAATAGAAATTAGTACATTTGAACAAATCCACAAGGGCCGTGACGAGGATTCGAACCTGCGTCCGGGAGCATCCCAGACACTGCCTTAATCAACTGAGCTACGACAGGGTAGATTAAGGCAGTGTCTGGGATGCTCCTGGACGCAGGTTCGAATCCGCGTCACGGCCCATGTGGATGTGTTCATTTGATGCATCACGTTAGTGTGATCTCTGTGTGTGATTAGTGCATTTGATTATATGAATACCACAACAACTTACAATTGTACATGTTTAGTGATTCAAAGCTGTGATGCTTATAGATCATGTAAACTTGAGTGAAATTGAAGCAGTGTCTTACAGTAGTTGCTTGCTTGTGCTTCAGTATAAGTACAAAACCAGGAGTGTTGTCATGAAGAAGACAAGGTGATAGTAGAAATCTTCGGTTGGAGTCTGTTTTGGTATGAAAAAAAATGCACCTTCATTGTAAAGGCATTGTAATCTTAAAAAAGATGAGGAAAATGTTTAAATTTGTGAAGATATTTTTTTAGTGCCTCACTGATAAGTTTTATAATGCTTTAGATTCTTAAAGTAAGGAAATACAAGTTTATTCTAGAAATTGAGCAGCAAGAGCAGTCTTGGCACCAATAAATAAAAGTAAGGGGTATGCAGTAACCCTGGCTGGTATATATGGTAAAGGGTACACAGTAACCCTGGCTGGTATATATGGTGTAAGGTACACAGTAATCCTGGCTGGTAAGTAGGTAAATGGTACACCATAACCTTGGCTGAACATTGTGCTGTCTATCATATTGAATGTGGTGTGGCTTCTGTTATGTGTACTGTACAGTTGTTTCCGTGTGTGTATATCTGCCTGGAACCAAACCAAGACCAATATGCAGTATACCACTCCCTTACAAAACTGAAAGTGGCAAAAAACTATCTTTGGTTAATTACTTTAAACATGGCTTGCATCTGCACATGTACTACTACAGATACTTTACAAGTGAAGATGAAGAGTAACTTTTTTAGAAGATTGTTATTGTTTTAGAGCTTTAAATATAGTCAAGGTTATGGTAGTGGAAGTAAATGGTTTTAGGCATGCCATCTTCCACCTTATTGTTGCGGCATTAAATACAGAGCACTGTACTATTAACTCCTGCATTAACATTAATGGAATGATTGTGTGGAGAGACCCAGCTTAAAATGTGAATGCTTTGCTAAAGCTGTCCCCAACAGCCTCAATTCTTGCAAATTGGCATTCGATCTCTGATCGCCCAAGTGGTTGGGCACCATTCCTTTCCTCTGACCAATCCCAGGTCCTTCTCGTATCCCGTTCGGAGTGCTATACTGTATAGTCATACTGGTTTAGTGCTTTTCTTGATTATCACTTTACCTTACCTTGCAAAAGCTGTTCTTTCAGCAAGCCCCAGGCTACAATGCTGTGTAAATCCATAAATCCATAAGGGCTGTGATGAGCGTTCGAACCTATTCATGCTGTATAAATCATAGCATGAGAAATTGGATGATACTGTTGAGACTTTTTCACTTTTTTTCACTTTTCATCACTGCATTCCATTATAGTCACAAATTGCGTCATCTGCTTCCTTTGCTATTTTTTTTTTTTTTTTTTGGGGGGGGGGGGGGAACATCACTAGTACCAGTGCCATACTCCCTTTACCAGATGATTGCAAGCCCAGCCACGGTCATATTCTTCTAATTACTCTGCCTTCTTATCGATGATAAGGCTCTTACCCCTTGATTGATGTTTCCATACTACTCCTACCGCACAACATGGATTCAACTCGCAAATACTGTAACGATATATCAAAATAAAAGCCAGTGTAAATTCTTGAGTAACGAGGTCAGAGTGCGCTAACAAATGAAGAAAACGTATGTAGCCTGTACATTTGCCTTGTCCTGCCTTGGCCTGTCTTGTCTGCCTTGGCCTTGTTTTAGGAGGCCTGGTCGACGACCGGGCCGCGGGGACGCTGAGCCCCGGAAGCACCTCAAGGTAACCTCAAGGTTGCCCTCAAAGTAGGTCTGGATGCCTTGGGGAAGGGGGGAGGGGGGGGGGAAGGAAACCAGCATTGAATGTAATGAAACGCCATTTTCTAGATGAGCCACCGGGGCTCCCCACAGAAAATTACTTACTTATTTGTGCACTTTATAGTACATTACAAACTTGGCAAATCATTTACAAAATATTAATTCGTTGTTTCAAATACAGTAATTGAAAAATAAAAAGTAAGATTAGCAAAATATGAAAAAATTATAAATTTGTGATGAACTGACAATATGGGTTTCACCACATTTCCCTCTCATTTTTTTTCCATAAGTACAAATTTGGGGAAATTCGGTAGTTATTTTGATCTGTTATTTAGTGATCAAGTACATGGAGGTCCAGATTTGGGAGGTCGCAGTGTATTGTCATTTCATTGCAATTTTTTTGTAGATTTTATTATAAGGAATTGTTCTTTGTTACCATAGTGCTCAAAATCATATTATTAATTTCTTGGTTTGTGTGTTATTTTGCATGTGAAATTTAGACTTGTGTTGCTGCCAAGATGACTGCATGCATAGCTCTTGTGCCTGTAAACCTTTTACTGTTCTCATTAGTCTTGTGTTTGGAGGAAAATAAATAGGTGATGTTTGCGAATATTAAGTGAACAAATCGGTGTCCAAATTAGTAGAGAAAATTAAGTCATTTTATTAATGAATCTGAAGTACTGTACTGATGAATGTATTTTACCTTATTATAGGAAAAACTTAAATTTTGTTCTTCAGTAAACTGTCCCAAAATGACTTTGGCATTATTTGTCTTATATTCTTTAGAGTTGATCACTGCCATTGTATGACCCTGAATAGCTAACTTCTTGCCTTAAAAGATGTGCTAAATATATATTAATGTGTGGCCTGGGTACTGTAGTATAGTTTGGAGTATGTTTATGTAATCTAGCTTTCATAAATAACATTGATATATCTTATAAAGTTATTGAATATAGATTTTAATAAATGGTGTACTATATTTAGATGTAAAGAGAGAGAAATATATAAGCAATTTGACGTGAAACTTATACGAACATAGCTAAAAAAAAGCTTGACTCGTAGCTATTTGATAAGTACAGTAATTGGGTAACCTCAGTATGGATACCTCATTTGAAATGGTTTATTAATGGGTAAGACAGGTGTTTGTATGCTAATGACATAAATCCCAGGTTCTTGTGAGTAAATGTTCTGTAGGTTTTTACAATTATTAATTCACCTGTTTCATATTGAGGAAGTATTCCTAGCAGAGAATATAATTTTGTTTAAATGAGCATTATGATAATGGATAATATATTTTGCTGTGCAGCTTTACAATCTCTGATCAGAATATTATTAGGCAGTATACTTTTGGGAAGGGAGAAGAGCCATTGATATACTTTGTATGAGGTACCAATACAATACAATACAATACAATACAATTTTATTTAGGTAAGGTACATACATACAATAAATATTTACAAGGATTGTTTAACCAGTTTTGTTGTATTTTATCGAAGCCCTTTAAATTTAAAACTTCTGAGAAACGCTCACAGTAGTGTAGTGAGTCGTGTCTATACGAGCATGTAACAATGGAAAACAGAGATTGTGTAAGCAAATTCACAGGTTTCACTGATGGTTTGTGATGGATATCTCTTGATAAGTAAATTGATATCAAATAATCTAGCAAATTGGATGAATTAGATTTGTTTTTTCTATCAAAGTGGAGGAGGCAATGTACAGTAGTTAAGAGATGATAATGGTTCATTTTCAGAATAGTTGCAGTTATATATTTTCCTTTAGCTTTCATTTGTATGATTTTTGAAGTATTGATATAAAAATATGGAAAACACACCTGTTAGGCATTATTAATGTTACTCTGAAAGTATTATGCCATTATGGGTTATAGTTTTAATCATTTCTTTTCCTATTTAAAGTGTGCATCATTTTCATTTTAGTCATTAAAGATTTTTGAACAGTTATTTAAAGACATAATGTGCAAATTAGATATTTAATTTATATAAAATAATATGTTCTTCAACTGCTGTAATGTCATTGTAATTATGTATTTCATTTGGCTGTGTTTTGTTTTTTAGTACGTACAATATGTTATAACTTGGGAAAATTCTGATGGGTTAATCAGCCGCCAAGATGACACTTTGAGTAAGGTGGCAGTTGACAATCTTAAGAAAAGGCTTTTAAAGAGCGCCTACTGTCATATGATGGGTGATGTATAGATCTAAGAGTTGAAACCTAACTAATATTTCTTGCTCTGATTATTTAGGCTTGACTCTATTGTAAACTTCTATATACTGTAAATACATTAAAGTGAACTCTCAAAGTGTTTGAGGTACACTTTCCTGGAGATTCTTGTGCAAATGAATTTTATGCAAATTGATTTGAGGATTACTGTATATGGGTTAAACAGGGGATGCATTACACAAATTTCCTAAAGTCTGTTTATTTTTCACTCGTCTGACACCGCAGATAGTGACAACTCACCATACTGTAATAATACATGTTTGATAATAGTGCTGTATGATTACAGCACATTGTATCATCTCTAAGAGTGGTGCCATCTACACAGTTATATAATTTGAACAGACGAGGGTGTGATTATACTATCATGTATATGCTCTACGGTAAAGATAAGGAAATATGCAGACAATGCCACCATCACTTGTACTGATATGCAGCTCACTTTTTTTATTGTCCATACACCACAAACTTTATTATTTCATAATACTGTAATACTTTATGAAAATATGGAAAGAAATCATGTTAAATATCCATGTGAGCCACTCCTGTATGTTTTATTTTTTTTTAGTATCCTTTAGTAAATAAAACCTGTACTATACATGTAATTGAAATTGAAATAAGTTTATTGAGGTAAAATACACACAAAGGGATGAGGTAGCTGAAGCTATTCTCACCCCGTTCAGTACATCGTGTTAATACATACATAGACACGCATCACAAACAATAAACATATTGCCAAACATTCTGAGAGATAAACATATACATTTCCTCCTTTACACAAGTAACTATACATGTGAGTCCATACTTTTCAAACATTTAAATTGAGGTTTTCTATACATAAAATGGTCAGTTTTTAGTACTGTAGTTCTACTGTAGTTATTGGCAAGTGTGTAATTAAATGTAGTAATGATAAAGTTTTTCAACTGTATACTGTAACAGTACCAGTTGGTTTGTAATGTTCATGGATACACAAAATGCATTGTAGATCCACATATAAAATGTTTTAACTGGTGATAAATTTTTTTGGTAAATTCAACAATTTACACATTTTAACACTGTACTTAGACCAGTAGAGATTCAAAATCTAGTTGTAAATTAAAAGTTTATCTTATAAATTCTTCCTTCAGATGACATAAATTTTCAATGTGCACCAAGATTTGTATCTTCATTACTCGTGTGTAAATGTCAATCTGCATAACAGGTTTGCGATACAAGTCGCTCAACAAAACAATTAGAAAACATTAGTTTTTTGTAACATTCATGACAATTTAAATAAGGTACTGGTATATACTCTATTGCATCTGAAAATGTGTGGAATTTGTCTGCTACATATCCATCGTATGACTGAAAACTGGTTATTAAATTTTGTCGTAGTCGATTATCTTTGAACCAAATGTCCTTGAGGAGTAATAACATAACCTTTGATCAAACTTGGTATATTGTATACATATGTTGCCTTGATAAGATTGCTAGTGCTCTTGTCCAAGCAGTTGATAAAATGATTTTATAATTGCTGTCAGTGTAATGTTTGTTTCTACTGACTTTTTTTTTTCATTTTTTTAAGGAAATGGCTAGAAAGAGAAACAGACAAACTGGATGTTGTATTGTCAAAGATGTGAAAAATCTAAATGGATCCTATTATTTTTTGTGAGAATTATCTGCAGCTCTCTAATTTGTGATATATTTGCTTGTTCTTTTCTTTATATTGGTTAATTTGTAAATGTACCGCTTTAAAGACTTGCTGAAGAGCACGGACCTAGTCAGATTTAGTTTCAGTATTAATGGCATTTAATTATATCTCCGTGGTGTAGTGGTAAGACACTCGCCTGGCGTTCCGCGAGCGCTATGTCACGGGTTCGTATCCTGGCCGGGGAGGATTTACTGGGCGCAATTCCTTAACTGTAGCCTCTGTTTAACGCAACAGTAAAATGTGTACTTGGATGAAAAAACGATTCTTCGCGGCGGGGATCGTATTCCAGGGACCTGCCCGAAACGCTACGCGTACTAGTGGCTCTACAAGAATGTAACAACTCTTGTATATATCTCAAAAAAAAAAAAAAAAATTGATTTAATGCTAACAGTGTACACACTAAAGTACAAATACTGTATATTGTTGCAGAAGTCAGCCTCCTTTGCTACCTTAATGTTTTGTTCTTGTTTACTTTAGTGTCATGATGAGCGGTAGGAATTTATTTTGAAATTGTTTATTTTCCTAATTATTTTGACTTAATCATTTCCTTGATGTTAGTGTTAAGTACAATACATAGATAATTCTCAAGTATTTCATGGAATCAATAAAAATATTAAGTTGAAATTGTTTTATCTGCCTTTTACCTATTTAATAAATGTGCATGCAATAATTAAATTTGAATTGTGCCTCCTATTTTTTTGTATAACTGACTAACAGAATTTAACAAAAAATCAAAACAAAGTGCCTGTGACTTTTGGATGATTAGCCAAAACTTTTAGCTTTAACCTTGACCTCTGTAGAGTCTGGCATCAAGTATCAGGTCTCCTCTTTCAAATATTTTGTAATTACAATTGGTGTTCTCTTTTTTTTTTTTTTTTTGTAATTTGCATTTAAAATTGTGTACCAAGGCAGTTTCAATCACATCATTTAACTCATTCCTCTTGTTTACAACTCTTAATACTGAAGGGCTTTGATATCCTGGTGACAACCTGTAGCTGTTAGCCTACAGCTGGGATCCTGACTCTTGGGTCACATGTGACAAGCGTCACATGTGGCCCCGTGTTGCATGTTGGAAAGGGTAATAGTTTGGTCTCGGGGAGTGGGGGTTCTATTTATCTAACTATATATATATATATATATATATATATATATATATATATATATATATATATATGTATGTATGTATGTATGTATGTATGTATGTATATATGTATGTATGTATGTATGTATGTATGTATGTATGTGTGTGTGTGTGCATGCCCAAAATGCTATGTGTGCTAGTGACTTTGCAAGTTTAGTTTAGTTCATTTATTATGCACCCCATACCCATCTTGTGGAAAGGGTTACAGAGGCACATAATGGGCTCAGGGACTGAACCCCACAATTCATTTAGCTAAGCAAGTTACAAGAATGTAAAAATATCAATGCTATGTATTGTACTCTCATAAACCCAATGTACCTTCTTGTATATATATAAATAAATAATTATTATATTGTACAGTATTGTATATTATTATGGGTGAGGAACTCGTTAGGAAAACTAAATACTCAAGAGTGGCCAGTTTCCTGTTCCAGTGCCTCAGTGTCGTGATCTAGAGAGGAAATGCTTCCTGTATCCTGGGCACACACTCTACCTCCGAAGAATTGGATGAGGTCTTCGAACAGTGATTGTTATGTGTGTGTGTGTGTGTGTTCTGTAAACTGTAACAATGTAATACAAAAAATAGGGGTTTTAGAAGAAAATATTGACGTGTTCAGTGAGAATTCACAAAGTCTTTTCTGAATACTCTTTTATTTTCTTCGAGACTATGGTTCCCTACAATTGCACCGGAGGTGGTAACTCTAAATATAATATAATATAATATAATCCCCGACAAACGAATTACCGTACGTTAGTAAGTATTTTGAAATTCCCGCCCCAGGTGGCTTGGGCGCGTTCAGCAGCAACATTCAAGAGCCGATTCTCTAATCTTTATGTAGCATGTTTACTAGTATGAATATCGGGCACTTCGTAACTGGCGGGAGATGAAATCAAATGGACATTGATACAAATTCCATCACTTATATATAAATGTTTAGACATGATACTCCTGACAAAATTATTCACATTTAATTTCCTAATATGCCCGAAACGCTATGCGTGTTAGTGGCTTTACAAAAATGAAATTAATGTAAAATCCATTAATGTAACATCACTTGTATGTATATACCTTACCTGAATAAACATCTGAATCTGAATCTGAATCTGAATCTGAATGAAAAAAAATACATCAATGCTATGTTTTCCCATAAACCCAATGTACCTTCTTGTATATATATATAAATAAATATAATAAAATAAATTAATAAATATTAGGCCTAGCCTATGAGTTGGCCGGTACCATGTAGTATCAAGTGCCACCTGAACCAGCCAATGACCAAGCAGCACCATCACTTGTGTCAGCCAATGACCAAGCAGCACCATCACTTGGGTCAGCCAATGAACGAGTAGGCCTCGACCTGTTCCAACCAATTAGAAAGTTACCCTCGACCTGGTGCAGCCAATTAGCAAGTAGGCTTCGACCTGGTCTAGCCAATTAGCAAGTACCCTTCGACCTGGTCCAGCCAATTAGCAAGTAGCCGTCGACCTGGTCAAGCCAATAAGCAAGTAGCCGTCGACCTGGTCCAACCGATTAGCAAGTAGCCCCACCACCCGGGGCTAATGAGTAAATAGCCCCACCGCCTAGCTTGGAAGATTAATTAGTAAGCAGAACCGCCACCTAGCCAGTGACAACAAGTTCTCTTCTTCTTGATGGCACGTGCAGTTTGCGCGAAGGGATTATCCTCCCCATGACTGCAAGAACAAGTTTATTGTTTCGACCATCAATTTAGCAAGCGTCAAACAGTGCTACTACCTGGGCCGGCCAATGAGCGAGCAGCATCACTGCCAAGGTCAGCCAGTGAGCTATCAGCATCATTGTCAAGGTCAGCCAATGAGCTAGCAGCATCACTGTCTAGGTCAGCCAATGAGCAAGCAGCATCGCTGCCAAGGTCAGCCAATGAGCTAGCAGCATCACTGTCTATGTCAGCCAATGTGCTAGCAGCATCACTGTCTAGGTCAGCCAATAAGCTAGCAGCATCACTGTCTAGGTCAGCCAATGAGCTAGCAGCATCACTGTCTAGGTCAGCCAATGAGCTAGCAGCATCACTGTCTAGGTCAGACAATGAGCTAGCAGGATCACTAACAAGGTCAGCCAATAAGCTAGCAGCATCACTGTCTAGGTCAGCCAATGAGCTAGCAGCATCACTGTCTAGGTCAGCCAATGAGCTAGCAGCATCACTGTCTAGGTCAGACAATGAGCTAGCAGGATCACTAACAAGGTCAGCCAATAAGCTAGCAGCATCACTGTCTAGGTCAGCCAATGAGCTAGCAGCATCACTGTCTAGGTCAGCCAATGAGCTAGCAGCATCACTGTCTAGGTCAGCCACTGAGCTAGCAGCATCACTGTCTAGGTCAGTCAATAAGCTAGCAGCATCACTGTCTAGGTCAGCCAATGAGGTAGCAGCATCACTGCCTAGGTCAGCCAATGAGCTAGCAGCTTCACTGCCAAGGTCAGCCAATAAGCTAGCAGCATCACAGTCAAGGTCAGCCAATGAGCTAGCAGCATCTTTGCCAAGGTCAGCCAATGAGCAACCAAGCGTTGCCTTCTCGGCCAGCCAATGAGTAAGCAAGCTCTGCCACCTGAACGGGCCAATGAGCGAACTGTTCTGTCGCTTTGGCCAGCCAATGAGCGATCAGAGCTGCCTATTGGGCCCACCAACGAGCGAGTAGCGCTGTCTGTGGGGCCAGCCAATGAGCGAGCAGCGCGGCCGGACCCGCTGAACGCACCTCAGCAGAGAAATGACAACAAAAGCCTTCAGCTCCATGCTCATGAACACCTAACGCCGCCTTGCTGCTCTTGTATTGACAATGAAGCTGGTAGATCACGTCGTTAGGTCCTTCAGGGTGGCTAAGCTTTTCCGCGACAACACAGAGCGTATAAATAACATTGATTTCTCGCCCAGCGGAGATCTGCTGCTGACATCTAGTGATGATGACCAGATTGTGATTTATGATTGTGAGAAGGGCACGTAAGTATGGGCACCACACGCCCATTTTTGGCTAGTTGTAGTTCACCAGGATGGGCGAGTCGCCACTAGGTCTCCTATTCCCAGGGCCTTAGGCTAGTCACAGGGCTGCCTCTATCATAGGCTAAGCCTCTAAGGTCTATCACACCTATTGTATCTTAAGACATTGTACCTCCTTGGACAGGATGAACAAACCAGCGGGTTTTCTTCCTATTGGGGAGTGTTGTACATGCTGCTATGGCAATATGTCCACTCACAAGATGTGTGGCGCTGCCCAATAAACTCGCCCCTCGGGGCAAAATTTAAAAAATTGTACCTCTTATTATCTAAGCTATTTACAGCCTCTTCTCTACCATGGGCTTGTCGTCAGGCGTTATAGTCTCTGCAGCTAGTCTAAAATGAGTTATCTTTGGTGTGGCGTCCACATGAAGGGCAGCCTACACATGCCCTGGGCACTATGCTGGCAGAGGGTATTCCCATCTTCAGGTTTAGACACATTTGACACATGTCATCCTGAAGGATTTAGCATTATTAGCATCGTCTGAGGGCAAAATAATGCTATCCTGGTGGTTATTACACACTGGTGTTGACAGTGTGGCAAGTTTACTTGCCACACTGTCTTAATAATATTAAGACAGGTTAATAATATTAACCCTCTTAATAAACATCTTTAGGAATCACTAATTCTTATTTTCATATGAACTTCGATATGAAAGTCATAGCATAGAACAATTAAAAAAAAAAATCCCTAAATGAGGAACTAATTTATTGGTTATACACACTGTTGGATGAATTAAAAACTACATGAACCTCTTTTTTTTATTGTAACACATCAAACGGTTCAGATATATTGTTTTTACATGTAGAAATATGAAAGATGTCTAAAAGAAACGGTATGTTTAAACATGTGTAACAAGTTGGGTCGGGAAAAATGGCTATTCCTAACTTTGTGTAAGGTGGTCATACATAGCAGTGCTTAATGTGTCTATGGTCAACTTTATCTTGAGGTTATCTTGAGATGATTTCGGGGCTTTAGTGTCCCCGCGGCCCGGTCCTCGACCAGGCCTCCACCCCCAGGAAGCAGCCCGTGACAGCTGACTAACTCCCAGGTACCTATTTACTGCTAGGTAACAGGGGCATTCCGGGTGAAAGAAACTTTGCCCATTTGTTTCTGCCTCGTGCGGGAATCGAACCCGCGCCACAGAATTACGAGTCCTGCGCGCTATCCACCAGGCTATGAGGCCCCATTACCTTAGGGTCCATTACCTTAGGACCTTAGGGTCAATTTGCCAGCCTCTAGACAACACTGTCCTCCCCTCCCCGCCCCCCCAAAAAATTTGTTTTATTTGCAATATTGCATTGAGCAAAACCACAAAAATACCTGGAGCTCTTTGAATATACTCCAAAGATATATTGAAACATAAAAGGATACTAATAATAACTTGTCGGTATAAATTTTATAACATTAATTTTGCCATGAATTACTACATGATTATTTTGAAAATCATGGTTCATTTTTTTTCAAATTTAAGGTGTTACATTTAATTTTAATTTTTACTCTCATGTGGATGTACAATTGTACAGCTCTTAAATTGTAAGAGGAAATGGGTAGATGCCTAGAAAGGTCCCAAAACTGGTAATGAAATTAGCCCCATTTCCTGTTTAGACATAAACACCAAATACAGTAGCTCTAAACAAATTGATCGTGCTACTCTGCTTATTAATGTCAGACCTTAACCCTTTAGTTGCGCAAGACATCATATGATGCGTTAAGTGACTTGCAGTAACTTGCGCTCCGCATCATATGATGTTTTGGAGTACCGCACAAGATTTAAACGGCCTGCGGATACACGGGGTTCACCACACCTTTATCAGGGCTCTTGTAAACAGACGCCATTTTTAATATTAATTTTCACTTAATTTAAATATTTTTTTTGCTCGGCCCCAGTTTACACCCCATTTACAGCCCAGGCTGTAGCAGTGTAAGGGTTAATGGACAGTAGTTCCAAGGAATGAGTTACCACACATAAGTGTCCAATTTCTAGTCTCGAGGTACATGGGGTGAAGTAAAAAAAAAAAATAATCTAAACAATATAAACACACCCCCTAGGGAGTACTGAAACATACTGCTACTATGTCCAGTAATATTAAATCTTAACACAAGTACTCAGAAGGTTCCCAAGAAACAAGTCATCAAACATTGTAAGTGGCAGGGCCTATCTCTGACACACTCTAGTTGATAGTCTCTAAACAACTATGGGGCCAAACATCCGAACACCAAGTATGTTACTCGAGGATTGTCGGCTAATAGTATTGAAACAAAGAAGCGTGTAATATAGACCATACAATATATGGTCATACAATAATATCCCAATTCCCTTACAAATGGGTCATATATTTTTCCGTTGGAAGACTAGCACCAGTGTGTGGCTCCCGTCCTGTAACTACACTTAGGTAATTACACTTGGAGGGGAAGACAAAACTCGGCCTTTACTAATTTTTTATTTATACAGTACCTCTGTTATAACTAATAGAAATATAGAAGACAATGTCTACTATGTTTTGAATCCCTCATTAGGAGCACAATGATGACAAATACAAATGATTTATTAAAGCAGTCTAAAGACAATAAGTACCTGTACTTCTTTTTGGAGAAACTGATAAATGATTGAAATGAACTTCAGGAGGAAGCTGTCTGTTAAAACCAATGGGAATTTAAGTGATAATTTATGAAAAATTCAGTTTAGATAGGACACCCCAAACCTAGCTTTACTGATATGCCAAAAATAGTGGGAAATCAAAGATGGATAATTAAATAAATGAATTTGCTTACACACAAATGGATGTATTCAGTATAAAGGCGCTAATATTTGTGCACAAACTCACTCTCTCTTTCCTAAATTATATGTTAGTAACTTGGCAGCAGTACAGACACTGCATTGTTCATTTAACACTTTTGTTCTGTATACAGTATCTTGATTTTTTATCAATAACATATCAATAAGTGATAAGTTATTGATGAAGACTTTTTTTTTTTTTTTGCTTCGGATTTAAATCATTTTATTTTTTTTTCAGATCCAAGAGAACTTTAAACAGCAAGAAATATGGAGTTGACCTTATTCACTTTACACATGCCAAAAATTCTGCAATCTACAGTTCTACAAAAATTGATGGCAAGTGTTTTAGCTTTACGGTACTGTAATGTTTAGCTACATAAGCATTGTTGTTATAATTATAAGATTTCTTTCAAACGTTATAGTTTATAAATTGACAACAGTATATGGCATTACAGTACTAGTTAAGTCAGGGGTAACTGGAAAAAAAGGGAGTTGTAAGGTGTTAATAATATGACACAGATGTAACTCTTCATAATATATTGCAGATACCATCAGATACCTATCATTGCACGACAACAAGTATATCAGATATTTCCCGGGACACACGAAGAAGTAAGTTTGCTCCGTTTACTTTTTTTTTTTGTTATTAATATTTTCTACCACAGACATGGCCACACATTTACAATGCTAACCAGCATATATACATTTTCTTCTGTCCTCCATGGACAGGGTTAGAGATGTGTTAAACATATAGTTCAAGGTGACTAGAGTGACTCCCCGTTTACTTGAACCCCGTGGGTCCCAATGTCCAGGGTGTTGATATTAGCACTGATTCGAGATTGAACTAACATTACACTTGGATATTGTTTACCCCTGGGAAGCAGCATGGAAGTTATTCAAGCAATTATAGACCAGTTGCACTAACATCGCACATCATAAAAGTATTTGAGAGAGTGATTAGGAGTCAGGTCACCAATTTCATGGAGACCAATGACCTTCATAACCCAGGCCAACATGGATTTCGAGCGGGAAGATCGTGCCTCTCACAGCTACTTGAGCACTACGACAAAGTCACTGAGGCATTAGAAGAGAAACAGAATGCTGATGTGATATACACGGACTTCGCAAAGGCCTTCGATAAATGTGACCATGGCGTGATAGCACACAAAATGAAGTCAATGGGAATAACCGGTAAAGTAGGACGCTGGATACTCAGTTTTCTGTCAAACAGGACTCAGCGAGTAACTGTCAACCATATAAAATCTAGTCCAAGTGCAGTGAAAAGCTCTGTACCTCAGGGTACAGTCCTTGCACCACTGCTTTTCCTTATTCTCATATCAGATATAGACAAAAATACAAGTCACAGCTTCGTATCATCCTTTGCAGATGACACAAAAATCAGTATGAAAATTACCTCGGCTGAGGACATTGAAAAACTTCAAGCTGATATTAATAAAGTTTTCGACTGGGCATCAGAAAATAACATGATGTTTAACAGTGATAAATTCCAGGTACTGTACTCAGGTACGGTAAAAATGAGGACCTTAAACATAATACAGAGTACAAAACACAATCAAATGTACCCATAGTAGGAAAACAGCATGTAAAGGATTTGGGAATAATAATGACTGACGACCTAACGTTTAAGGAGCATAACCAAGCAAATATTGCGACAGCCAGAAAAATGATAGGATGGATTACGAGAACTTTCAAATCCAGGGATCCCATCACAATGGTTGTACTCTTCAAGGCACTTGTGTTGTCCCGTCTTGAGTACTGCTCAGTACTCACTTCCTCCTTCAGAGCAGGAGAGATTGCTGAAATAGAGGGAATACAGAGAACATATACGGCACGCATAGACGCAATAAAGCACCTAAATTATTGGGATCGTCTCAAAGCCCTCCAAATGTACTCACTAGAAAGAAGACGAGAGAGATATCAAATAATATACACCTGGAAGATACTGGAGGGCCAAGTACCAAATCTACACAGTAAAATAACAACGTACTGGAGTGAACAACATGGAAGAAAATGTAGAATAGAACCAATGAAGAGCAGAGGTGCCATAGGCACAATCAGAGAACACTGTATAAACATCAGAGGTCCGCGGTTGTTCAACGTCCTCCCAGCAAGCATAAGAAATATTGCCGGAACAACCGTGGACATTTTCAAGAGGAAACTAGATTTATTCCTCCAAGGAGTGCCGGACCAACCGGGCTGTGGTGGGTATGTGGGCCTGCGGGCCGCTCCAAGCAACAGCCTGGTGGACCAAACTCTCACAAGTCGAGCCTGGCCTCGGGCCGGGCTTGGGGAGTAGAACTCCCAGAACCCCATCAACCAGGTATCAACCAGGTAGGTACATATCCATTTTCAAATAACTTATAATGTTGGATTTCTTACTTGAAAAATAGGGAATAAAAATAGGTTTGTTTACGCATCAGCATTTTTTTTTTTAATTCATTATAGCTGGTATAATTATAAGATGCGTGTTTTGCCTTAGTTAGAGGGTTAAACTGAACTATTCATTGCACTGTTCTTATTTGCCCATTGATGGTTGCAGACGCTACACCTATGATAAATAAGTTGTGTATAAAGGGACTGAGAAAGAGAATATAGGGAAGTGTGGGAGTGGTGATAACATAGGGGAGGGGGAGCATGGGAGTGGTGATAATATAGGGGGAGAGCATGGGAGTGGTGATAACATAAGGATGAGTGTGGGAGTGGTGATAACATAGGGGGGGAGCATGGGATCTACATAGGGGTGAGCGTGGGAGTGGTGATAACAAGGGGGAGCATGGGAGTGGTGATAACATAGGGGGGAGCCTGGGATCAACATAGGGGATAGTGTGGGAGTGGGGATAACATAGGGGGAGAGTATGTGAGTGATAGTTGAAATAGAGGGAGTACTGTAGTATTTTGGGTAGTCCAGTTCTCGTCTAATATGTGTGGCTAAAATTTGACCAGTCTTACAAGTACTTTAAGCAAGTATTTATGTTCGCTTTCATTTGTTAAAAGTTTTAATACTAATTACTGCTATTTTCCTTCTTCAGAGTTATAACTCTGAGTATGAGTCCTATCGATGACACGTTTATCTCTGGATCACTGGACAAATCTCTGAGACTCTGGGACCTTCGTTCTCCCAACTGCCAAGGAATGATGCATGTTGGTGGCCGGCCTGTGGCTGCGTTTGATCCTGAAGGACTTATTTTTGCTGCAGGAATAAATTCTGAAATGATCAAACTATATGATTTAAGGTGAGCTTTAAAATGTTAGCGAAGTGTACGGAACGAGTTTATTGTATTGTTTCTTTAGATATGCTATGTATGGGTTTGATGTATTTACAGATGCTAATTGCAAGTTTGGGATTACAGATCATTTGACAAGGGCCCATTCAGCACTTTCCAGCTCTCTATGGAAAAGGAATGTGACTGGACAGGCATAAAGTTCAGCCCTGATGGCAAGACAATACTCACATCAACTAATGGTTCAGTCATCAGATTAGTTGATGCATTTCAAGGGACGCCTCTCAAAACGTTTGCTGTAAGTTGTTTTAATAATAAACGCCAAAACTATAGTTTTGGGCTTTTATCATTATATATATTTGATATACAGTACAGTATTTGGTTTTCAAAAATATTCTACTGATAAATTATTTAATTTTATACTCTTCAGTTTGCCTGACATACTGTTTTTGTGTTCAGTTATGAATTTTTTTTTTTGTTTAGTAATGTAATGACTTTTACTGGATTTCTAGGGTCACCTAAATAACAAGGGCATCCCACTAGAGGCATCTTTCAGCCCAGACTCCCAGTTCATCTTTAGTGGCTCTACAGATGGTCGAGTTCATGTGTGGAATGCTGAAACTGGCTACAAGGCAAGATATTTCGTCAATGATTGCTCTTCAGTTTTAAATACGTGGTTGATGATATTTTGCGTGTTTTTCACTGATGTTTGGTGACAGTCACTTTCAGTTCACTTAGCTATGCAGGCGATGAGTCACAATAACGTGGCTAAAGTATGATGACCAGACCACACACTAGAATGTGAAGGGACGACAACGTTTCGGTCCGTCCTGGACCATTCTCAAGTCGATTGAGAATGGTCCAGGACGGACCGAAACGTCGTCGTCCCTTTACATTCTAGTGTGTGGTCTGGTCTTCACTTAGTTATGTAATAAGATTCATAAATACAAATATTATACTGGACTCTGGACACAACAAAATTTACAAATTTGACTTGTTGACTTCGGCTCGAGAAAAGATTTTGGAAATTTTCAATCAAGCAGGTGTGTGTATTCATGTACTGTAGCTTGTGCTATCTATGACATGTTTATCTCTAGATCACTGGACAAATCTTTGAGACTTGGGACATTTGTTCTCCCAACTGCCGGGAATGATGCATGCTGGTGGCTGGCCTGTGGCTGCTTTTGATTTAGAAGGGCATATTTTTGCTGCAGGAATATATGAAAACATGAAATATTACCAATTACAGTACTATACAGTATACTCTATTTGGATAAATATTGTTCGGTAGTGGTGTGAGTTTAGCTCGGTGGAGATGGCAGAAGTGACCATATCTAATTATTAATTTAATTATTTTCTCATTAAAATTTCATAGAAAATGGTGCAATATATAGAAAGTTTTAAATGAAGAGTTTTTGTCCAGCCAAAATGAATATTGCCCATGCTTCCATAAATATTTTTATCCTGTTAATCAAATGTCATAGAAGACCTTGAGCTAAAGAAAGGTTGCATCATATTAAAGTCATTGACTTCCTTTGCAAAATGTTGTGTGGTTGGTTTTTAATCTGATGTGGTGTTTGTTGGCCTAGTTCGGCAAGCTGGCGTGATATCTTTGAAAATCGGGGTTTAGGGGCTGTTTCATGGGATAATTCGTAGCTGGTGAAAAACTTGTACAATTGGATTCTCCTGGTAAATAAATAAGCATTTTATCGAGATTTTTATAGAGAAGCTACCTTTTAAAACTATGATTTAGGGGCTAGGGCTATGGGAAAAGTCCGGGGATGACTGTGAAAATTGTGTGGGGTTAGGTTCTTGTATCTATTTTTAGGGTTTAAATTAAGCTCTTATCAATATATGCAGCTTTCTATTCAGTAATAGTGTTAAAAAATGAAAGTACAGTACAAAATAATAATGCCATATTTTTAGTATTATTTTTGCCCAGGTCCAGATTTACAAAGAATTTGGATTTCTAGATAAGCCCTAATCAGCACCTTAAAAAAAATAGTTGCGTAATAATAATGTAAGCATGCAATGCTTGAAGCATCGAGATTACATTGTAGAATCCACTTCTAAATCCTAATTTTAAATGGGTGATCTAATACCAAAGTCTGTCTTATTGACATGCACAATATTCTTTATTAAGGGGTTTGGATTCCAGAGGCGACACTTTGTTACTTGTGTAAAAATACGCCAAATTTATGTAATTTTCAGAAATTTGGTGATAGTGAAATATGACAGGCTTTAAATGCAATATTATTTTGTTTGCAGAAGAATGGTCCAGTATGTATGTATGTGTATTCAAGCTGGAATATACTGTTAAAAAATTAAATAAATACAGTTTCACCAAGATTATGAATGTGTGTAAAATGTATCTTTTTGAGGTTTTGCACTTTTAAAAATGTTCACAGGCAGATTATTCTCATTTGGCTACATAGGATGTGTGTGAAATTTTTTTGGTATTCACACAGGTTAGTTTTTTTGAGTAATGACTTCTGTCCTGCTACTGTAGGCTATTAGGGCATAGATTAATATTTGTTGTACTGCATTGTAGGTGTGTGTACTGAATGCTGATCATACAGGACCAGTGCAGTGTGTTCAGTTCAACCCAAAATACATGATGTTGGCCTCAGGGTGTACTAATATGGTAAGTTATACTGCAGTAAATGTAATGTTTTACATGGCAAAATAGTTTTCTCGTAAGTATTCTATGTTCCTTACGGTAAACCCCCCCCCTTTCCTTGTCCTGATTTTACTTTCTCATTGAATGTGGTTTGTTATTATACATGCATTCATTTTGGAGCTTGTTGATCTGGTCACCTACTCCACATACACTTGCCTTTTTTTTTTCACTCTATCTCTGTACCTAAGTGTAGTTACAGGATGAGAGCTCTGCCCGTGGTGTCTGATCTTCACAGTAGAGTACTGTACAGTACTGTCAAATGATGATTTGAAACTACCGCCAGTTTTGACATCCACCAACTCATTTGACTTGTTCCAATCATTTACCACTTTGTATAGGAGAATTTTTATTTTTTTGGGGGTGGGTGCTGTCCTTCCGTGTATCCCAAATCATTATTCTGGTATTGTCAGTATTAAAAAAGAGGTGGAAATGTATACTAGCCAAGCTGATCTCTGAATGCTCAAAGAACTCATCAGTGGCAAACTACCACAAGGTCAGTGTGTTTATTGCCTCTTGCAGTATAGCCTCAAACCTGAAATTGGTCTAAAAAACACAGTTGATCATTGCAGATCCTTCATCATTTTTTATCAGTGCATCAAGAATTGAGTGAAAACAGAGAGGAAAGGATAATAGTGAAGGGTTATCTATCTTATCTTGAGGTTATCTTGAGATGATTTCGGGGCTTTTTTAGTGTCCCCGCGGCCCGGTCCTCGACCAGGCCTCCACCCCCAGGAAGCAGCCTGTGACAGCTGACTAACACCCAGGTACCTATTTTACTGCTAGGTAATAGGGGCATAGGGTGAAAGAAACTCTGCCCATTGTTTCTCGCCGGTGCCTGGGATCGAACCCGGGACCACAGGATCACAAGTCCAGCGTGCTGTCCGCTCAGCCGACCGGGTGAAGGTTGTGGAAGTTGTAGGAAGTCAATCCATGCAGCTGAATGTAAGTGACTATAGGAGAATTGGGCAGGTGTGAAAAAAGAAAGGACTGCCCCACTCAAAGTTTTCTTTACACGTATTAAAGCTGATGGAGGATGTGCCTTGGCATGCCAGATAGCTACAGGACGATGTTGGTGATTGGAAGCTGCGGTCTATAAGACTGGACCTTTCCAAAGTAGATAGGGGTTAGGTTAAAGCAGAACTTGCTTTAAAGCTAAAATGATGAATACCCACAGAAATGTGGAGTAAAGACTTGGCAATATCCATTGTAGCTTCCCTTAGCCATCTGTTATAGACCTATCCATGGCATTAACAATGTCCTAGACTTTGAATAACTTTTGCCCCAGAAGGAAAAACATTGTTGCAATTCGTCATGTCCTAATAAATGGAGTGGGCAGCGCAGTAAAGTGCACTTACCACAATCCACTCTAAAGTGACCACTCAGAACTCCTTCCAACAATTCTTAATAATTCTAAAATCACTGAAGCAGCTGAATCTCCAACAACCAATTACCCTTGCCGCCATTAGGATTGGGGGACGTGACTACCTCACTTAGGTCGTCATGTCCCCCAAACAATAAACTAATGCTGCCGGTTTTTTGACCATTTCAGAATCCTTTCTAGGTCGTTCTACAAGAAGAAAGAACCTCCTATGTCTATTTAGATCATCATATGTCCTCATGACTGACTTTGAGTCTTTTGAGTTTCTCAATTTTTGTATCGGTGGCAAATGAGCAAATATTTCTGCTCAATACTGAATCTAACATAGTCTGGGATGAAGGTAAAAATGTATTCTGTTTTATTATTGTTTACCACCTCACTATCTCTGTGTGAAACGCTGGTTTGGCTTCAGTGGAATCCTCAGGAATCCTAATGGGTATCAGCAGAACCACAGGTTGCAATTCTTTTGACCATGTCGTGGCGTAGTCATCTAGAACCTGTGTTTGGGAATACCCAGCACTTAGGTTCGAATTCTTGTCACAGCTCCTGTGGATTTTCTCATTATTATTATTATTATTATTATTATTATTATTATTGAGTGTTAGTTTTGAAGACATTTGTTATAAATATAATTTTATCCACAGGCATTTTGGCTGCCTGCCCTAGACGACATGTGAAGAAATAATTCAACTGCAGCTACATAATTCTTTAAGACAACCGACGAAAGTAGCCAGAGTTACTTCAACCCTTATGTGAGCTCCTTGTTCATCCTTACCAGAAGGTCATCTCACAGCACTTGAATGCAGATTCCTGTTCACTGTTGTAGATCTGAAGCAAGCTTATTTTTCTTGTTTGAGGATGGGCAGCCAGTTGTTTTTATAATCACTAGAAATAAGCATTTTGGAACAAGATAAAGTTTTAGTTGACTTTTATACCCAGGCTGCATGAATGTGCATAAGCCTCAAGAAAGATCACTTGTGTGGTTAAAATAAGTATTATTAACCTCGTCAAATGTGAGGGTTATACTGCCGAACAAACGTGTCTAAGGCATGACCATTTCTCAGTTGCTCCTGTGGGGGGTACTTCACCTAATGATTAGCCCTTTTCTGTTTTGCCATTGAGAATATAAATGGTTATACCAGTTTCTTTTGACAACGGATTACAAGATAATCGTTTTGTCAATGGTGAGAGTTGGAAAAATCACCTCAGTTTTTTATCCTACTACGCATTCAGGGTATTGACGTAGTGATAAAAGTTAAGATAAAAGGCTTACAAAGACTTAGTAAAAGACATTATTAAACATGTGGTTTATTTTTTACTGAAAACATGTTGAGACTGTGGATATTACCTGAGAAATAGTTACATTTACCAGGTATTGTTTTAATTCTTGTATTTTAAATACATTATAATAAACTCTTTATATTAAATATTTTTACTCAGCCACTCAGGCTAGTACCCAGTGCCTGCTTCTCATTTAACAAAAACTTCATATCGATTCAAAATCTTATGTTTTTGTTACGTGTATCTTAGAAATGAGTAAGATTGAATTCATATTTTTAGTACCTGTGCTGTTTTATAGGGTAACCTTCAAGTTGTCAGTGACATTGGGGTTCTCTGCGACTAGTGTTAAATAGAATGTTTATTATTATTATGAGCTTTCACCTTTTTTATCCTCTATTGTTAATTTGTTGTATACAGTATTTTTATTGTAAAAGTTGGCTTAGGCAGAGCACACTGCATCACATTTGAGCATTATCCAGTAAATGCAGCATTAGGGATGCACAGGCTGACAGCTTGAGAGGTAAATATTGGCTATTATGTGGTCTTGGCAATCTTACCTAGGTCTTGGCAACCTAGCATATGCTAGGTTGCCAAGCTGCTCACACCTAAGAGACAGTGGACCCTTTTTGTTTGAAGGCTACCATCCCTGCGCCACTGTGGAATACAATGTGGGTATCTTTGGATAAAATTCAGAGTCAACGAAAAGATCCTCGAGGAAAGGTACGGCTGCCCAAGGGTTTTTATTTATGATATTTCGTGTGTGACTGAATAGTAGTATAGTAGCTTAATTTCATTATGATAATGAAATTTATTTCTCATTTTAATTTACATATATTAATTAAACTCAAATTGCTCTTTAACCCTCTTAACTGCACACCCTAAATTTAGGTCAATTTTCTGGTGTGCATAAAAAAGTATTCCAAAATTGTTTTCTTTTCTAACATTTATTTCTGATGATGGGGAAAACAATACAAAAAATTCTATCATATAATTTTGGCCGTTGTGAGGTGAAGAAATATTGAAAACGTCAAACTCTGAGAATTGCTTTCATGTTGATCATTTGTAATAGATTTCTCATCACTAATTTTGTCCAGCTCCATAAAAGTCCTTGAAATTTTGCATGGCATCAATGGTTCTTGCATTGCACCAGTAAATGAATTTTGATGCACCTTATATGGTGCCAATTTTTGTTATAATGCCCAGGAAGGTAATTAAGGCTTTCAGGATTTTTTCCCAATATGGCAAATGATTGCCACTCTCTCACTAGTGCTGAATGACGTCTACATAGAAACTAGGAATTTTGAATATTGCAAAGTGCGTCTAATCTCCCACAGGCAGTAGGGGTGCGCAGGGCCCACATAGCTTGAGGGCGGCATGCATAGTTAGTTGGTTAAATTATGAAATGTGTGTTTAAAAAATGCTGAAAATATTACTATTATCTTAAGTTATTATCTGTTGGTCAATTAAAAGCAAATATGCTTTAGTCTTGATTTCAGCACACCTCTTTGTTCACAGAAATACGTTTGTGAGTCAACTGTGAACTTGCCACACTTAAATTTATTAGAAGAGATAGGTACTGTAATATTACCATATGATTTGAACCTAGATGATGATAGTGTGTAAAATTTAATGTATATAAGCAGATGATGTATATCTTGACAGAGAATGATAGATATACAGTATGGGAACAAGGGAAGACTGCTGGACATGAGTAGGGTCTAGGTAAAGTAATGATTGTGGAGAAAGATGGAAACTCACTGAAATTAATGTGACTGGAGATTTATTAGAAAAGGTGTGAAATTAACAAAAGTGGATGGTGTATCAGTAATGTCAAGAGTGAAGTGAGTAGGGAAGAAAAGTGGATGATGCAGTTAAAACTGTGGTTAGGAAGAACAAGGGAGGAAGTGATTGTACCCAGGCTGCAGAGACGATTGGCGCCGTATACCCAGATTGACACACAAAAACTGGTGTAGCAGGTGCATACAAAATTTGGAATTTTAACATTTAAGAGTAGACTATTTGCAAAGCATGTATGGCACTAAGAAAAAAAGTAGTTTGGAATAAAATGTCTTGGAAATTATATAGTGTAAAATTTGTGAAATCTTAAGCTTGAGGAGTGTGTGTACCAAAACCGTTTGATTGTGTTGAATGACTATTATGAAGTGATGGAGAGTATATTCCAGTGAAAATGAGGGTAGAAGAAGATAAAGGTCAAGATGATTGGCAGACATGGTGACTGAAATACAGTATGAGAAAAGGTTGAGTGCCAGGCTTGTTGGAAGCAGTTTGTGAAGATTAAATATTTGACTCTTTGAATAATATGATAACTTGGAGAGCACTGATGGCTGGGTTGGCTTCCTTTGGTAGCTCCCCTTAGCATACAACACTGGGAGGTACAAGTCAACAGTGAAAATGATACTGGTGACACTCAAGATGCTAGTGACTCGTGCCATCTAAGCTTGCCACCCTTATTGTGGTTGAGAACCTCATGGTGATCAAAGATTAACCTGCTACCTAGGTTAACCACCAAGAAAGTTAATTTAATAAATTGTTCTCCAAGAATATTTAGCAATCTTGAATTGCCAAATATTCTTGGCAACTCAAGATTGCCAAGAATAATTATAAACAATTGATCTAGCTAATCCCTACTAGATTGATCCCCTAAGTACCATCAGATGGTCCCCAAGCCACCTGAGGGTCAGGATGAGCCAACTCCTCAGTCATACTCATCTGGCAATGTAGAGTAAGGACTCATGTCCCCCTGGCTAACACATTTCACTTCCTTCAATCGCTAAGTGAACTGATTTATTGTTGGGATGGTAGTTCGATGTAGGTGTCATTTGCCGCTGACACTTCACGGGGTGGATATCAGTTGCTTTCCTTGTCATGCCTTCCTTCCACCTTGGGTTTGTCATGATTTTCTTCACTGGTGCTATTGTAACAATTGACAGCGAATAGAGTTCTTTATTTCTGAGGAGCTTGATACCTACTTCTCTTGGGGCGCACCCCTTTAGAATTTGACTTTTAAGGCAGTGCTCCTCAACCTGGTTAGTAGGTAAGGCTCGTGGTGTAGCTAGTTATGTGCTTGATGTGTGTTGTGTATTGGTAGTACTGTTTACAGGGTTTATACCTTGAGGTTACCTTGAGGTGCTTCCGGGGCTTAGCGTCCCCGCGGCCCGGTCGTCGACCAGGCCTCCTGGTTGCCGGACTGATCAACCAGGCTGTTGGACGCGGCTGCTCGCAGCCTGACGTATGAGTCACAGCCTGGTTGATCAGGTATCCTTTGGAGGTGCTTATCCAGTTCTCTCTCCAGTTTATGCATCTGGAATGACATGAAAGACCTGGATATTCCTGGTAGTCACAGACAACTTGTGCCCTTGCCTGTCACTTCACCTCTCCATTGTGCCTAATCCAGCAAGTCACTTTGTTGTGCCCGTTACTCTTTTTATTAATTATGGCTGGCGATGTGTCTTTTATCTTCATTGGGACTCCTTGGGCTTGGGTTCTCACCCTCTGTCCTCTCTCTGCTGCTGATTGCTTTTTCTGACCTCTGAGGGTTTCACCAGCTTAGTTCCTGATTTCTGAGGGTTTCACCAGCTTAGTTCCTGATTTCTGAGGGTTTCACCAGCTTAGTTCCTGAGCTCTGAGGGTTTCACCAGCTTAGTTCCTGATTTCTGAGGGTTTCACCAGCTTAGTTCCTGAGCTCTGAGGGTTTCACCAGCTTAGTTCCTGATTTCTGAGGGTTTCACCAGCTTAGTTCCTGATTTTTCTTCATTCTTGTTTCCTTCCAAGGCATATTTCACGCTCTTGCTAAGCAGAGTGCTTTCCTTAGGTGTTCCCAGTGATTCATTATCAGCTTCCTGCTTTCCAGGTTTTGCTTCACTCTTTGTCATTTTGCTTCACTGTTTCTATTGATTACCTTTTTATATTTTTCCTAGATCAGTGCAAACATTTCCAGAAGGAGTTTCTTGTCTTTGATGCAGTTTGGCAGTCTGGATGGTTTCTGTGTCTGTATTCTTCACTCTTGGGTACTTATTATGGTTCTCCATCTCACACTTGTAAGTGTCCTCGTGTCCTCCTTGTTCTTGTGTAAAGGTAGTCCTCTTTAGGACACCATGATGACAAAATTGAGGGGAGCTACCAAGGGATGCCAACCCAAAAATAAAGCATTGAGCATAATGATATGCCTCTTTTTGGGTTGTACCTTTGTAGCTTCCCTTTTGTGCCTTGGAGCCCCACTTTCTTGTGCGGGGTTTTTGCTGCATCTTGAGTATTAGAGGCTTGGCTTACCTTGACCTGGTGGTGGTCAGGGTATTCAGTTTAGTAAGGATTGGCTATTTCAGAGTTTTGACAATTGGAAATTTCCTAAAGCATTCTCTTATGAGAGTTGAGTTTTCATATTGATTATCTTTTTTGCCTGTTGACCTTGGAAGTGGGTTCATCCTTGAACCTTACGAGTGCCCCACCCATGATGAGGAATCAAAAAATGGAGCTTGTCACTAGTAAACTTAAGTTTGTCACTGGAAGGAAAGCATTTTGACTGTTGTCCTATACTTCCTAGTATAGTAAGATGATGGGGAAATAGAGAGGTAAGCCAGAAAGAGGCATTTCATAACATTCAAAAATTTATTTCTGGAATGGCTTCATTTCATGGCTTCCCCAAGCTACCCAATGGTTAACTTCAAATCTAAAGTTACCCCACCAGAGGCCAGATATAGGAAGCAGTTACTCAAGCACTTACGAACCTGTACATCTTTCCTCAATCTTTGGTGGCTTTGTTTACAATTATTAAACGGTTAATGAGCTCCAAAGCACCAGGAAACTGTTTATAACAATAACAAAAGTTGATTGGGAAGCTTTCATGCTTGTAAACTGTATAATAAATGTAAACAAAGCCGTCAAATATTGAGGAAAGATGTACACGTTCGTAAGTACTGTACTTGCGTAACTGCTTCGCAAATTTGGCCCCTGGCTCCTTGAGTCATGATTGCCTATCAAGGTCCAGGATTATGCTCCCTCATTTGAGGTAACCCGCCAAACACGGATGTTACTCCAGTGTTTGAACACGTTTTTATACTTAACAATTGTAGCAACCAATATAGAAAGTTGTAACAATGTTCTAATACATCATAAAAACATTACACCAAACAACTTTATTGCAAGTTGTACTGTAACAAGGGAATTATAGGGATTGTTGTGTGTTTGCAGGGAAGAGAGTTGAGGATATTAGATGAACCCAACCCAAAAGAAAAAATCATCAGAATGGTAAAATGCCCCAAAATAAACAACTTCATGGAAGCATTGACAACCGTGAAAAAAACAATAACATCATTATCCAAATCTAGCTGTAATTATATACATTATTATCCAGACCCAGCTGGTAATTACATACATTATAATCCAGACCCAGCTGGTAATAATATACATTATTATCCAGACCCAGCTGGTAATTATATATTCATCCACTACCAGATATCAACTCAGGTCCCCTGCTGGCTGCCCAGTGGGTCACTTATCAGTGGTGCATGCTGGATGAAGGCAGCTGGGCTGCTACCTGGTGATGGATGAGTTATTATTGGGATATTATTGGATCGACTCAAAGCTCTCCAAATGTACTCGCTAGAAAGAAGATGAGAGAGAGAAATCAAATAATATACACGTGGAAAATACTGGAGGGCCAGGTCCCAAATCTACACAATATAATAACAACGTACTGGAGTGAACGATATGGAAGAAAATGCAGAATAGAACCAGTGAAGAGCAGGAGTGCCATAGGCACAATCAGAGAACACTGTATAAACATCAGAGGTCCACGGTTGTTCAACATTCTCCCAGCGAGTATAAGAAATATTGCTGGAACAACTGTGGACATCTTTAAAAAAAAAAACTAGATCATTTTCTCCAAGATGTGCTGGACCAATCGGGCTGTGGTGGATATGTGGGCCTGCGGGCCCACACATCCAGGCTGTTGCTCCAAGCAACAGCCTGTTGGACCAAGCTCTCACAAGGCTAGCTTGGCCTCAGGCCAGGCTTGGGGAGTAGAACTTCCAGAACCCCATCAAGCAGAGTGTGACTAACTTGCAGTTTGCTCTGGACAATGAATGTTTATATTATTTGTGACGGATTCCAATGTTTCCATACAGTTGCTTGGTTTGGGACACTACTTTTCCGGTGGTTTTTACCTTTTGACTTTGGGTTGACCTAGTGTCCCCAGGCCCTCTTACCTCTAGGGGTCAGATTCTAGTCCTCATCTCCAGAAGGTGCTTATTACCCAAAAGACCTGGTGGGATGCTGTAGACCGGGAGTGTAACCAGACGGGGTAGCTTTAAGAGCTATTGATGGAGACTCGCCAGAAAGAGGTGTTTCATTACATTCAACACTGGATTTTTTACGTGATGTGTAAGCTACTTTATATGATTTACCAGAGTGTGGGGATGCTGGTGCTTTGTTATCATTATAGGAATAATATGTTTAAAGGTTGGGTGTAATTCTTGTGTGTTTTCCAATACTGATATATTTTTTCTCTGAAAGTTGGGAAATGGAGTAATGAGGAGAATACTAGGATCTTCGACTTTGTCCTCTGCAATAAAAACAGAAAATTTACACTTGTCAAACTGCCATACCGTTAAAAGTATTAGCTAAAACACACTAAGGGTAGCCAGTTATGTTGTTTTTTATAAAATGGTGATATTCATTTGCATGAATATAGATCTGCAAAGACACAGACTTGTACCAGACCACACACTAGAAGGTGAAGGGACGACGGCGTTTCAATCGACATGAGAATGGTCCAGGACAGACCGAAACGTCGTCGTCCCTTCACCTTCTAGTGTGTGGTCTGGTCAACATACTTTAGCCACGTTATTGTGACTCATCGCCAGCACACAGACTTGTATTCTGATGCAAATGGCCGAGTGGCAGATTTTTGTGGATTTTGTCTGTGATCTACCCAAGAAAAAGATCCCTAAAAGAAGGAAAAGAAAGTTGTCCATGAATGCATTATCATCACTGCCCCATGAGTTGGCAATATCATCATTAATTAATGTATGTATACACTTTGTTTATTTAAATCCTTCTTGATATAATTTCAGCAGCAGCCTTAGTGACATGCATATCACCCAGAGCTTATCATTTCCTTAAAAAATGTGTAGAATGTTTTGTTTACATCAGCCAGTCTTATCTCATTTGTATTATGGAGATTGCATTAGCCCCTCTATTGCAGAGATGCACACAAAACTGCGATTTTTTAGAATGTGAAACGGTGACCAATGAGCAAATGAACTCCATGCATTGTGCTGAACGGCTATTGATTAGCTGTGGAAACCTGATGCTTGATGGACCTGTTCGAACAAATCCAGCCATGCATTTGAAGGTGAGGTGTTGAGAGTTTAATGGTCTTGGGCAGTTAATGAACTAGTGATAAACCTAACTGACCAGTGTTTGCTAGAAACATTTTAGGTAAGACAGCTTACCCTCAACCAGGATAATGCAGTTATCATATATTGATTTTAGTTGTTATTGCTCACTTTTAATACAAATAGCGTAAATACGTGGTTGTAATGGGGTTAACCTAGCATCATGGAAAAATTACCATTTTTAATTGCTTGCTATGAGAAGAGGTCATCATGTACCAGTAACCTACAATTATCATCAAATTGGGTCTTTCCAACCAGTATTTGAATCTCTGTCCGGATGTCATTCCCAGACAAAATAGCAGCAAATGCTATTGTCTCTCTCTCAGGTTGCAGGAGATACTGAGCTGTTCTTGGAACACATTTATGTCCGATATTGGTATGCATGTTGCATTGTACTCAATCACTATTTTTGTCAGTTAGGTAGGTGTATATAAATAGTTATTCCACGCAGTGTGTAAATTATTTGAAATGGCAAACATATATAAACCAACTTGAACATTATAGATCCCACCGCTACACGTCGAGTCAGCAAACTGCATCGCCACGAGTCCACAGACCCAATAACTCCCTCACCTGACTTCCGACTGTTGTGCACAAAACCAAAAAAAAAAGACATTTCTCTTAACTAAATTTCCTTACTTTTTATATGCAAATATATGATTTTCTAAAAAAAAATTGTTTTTCATATTAAATACAAAAAACAAATTTGGGGTCATGAATCCCATCACGATATGCATAATGCTGAGCTTGCCAGAAGAAATGTTGACCACACAGCCCCAGGTCAACATTAGGGTACTGTGGATACTGTGTGTGATTTTCTGTTTATTTTTCAATACTTTTAATGCAAATATATAATTTCATAAGAAAAACAAGTAAAATATTATACCTTTTTGTTTTGTTAATTTCAAGAAAAATTTTGATAAGCTCAATTTGAGGAGTAATAATAGATTGTGTGTAATTACATAAGTTTAGTTACAGGATGAAAGCTACGCTCATGGTGTCCCGTCTTCCCAGTACAGTACTCAATGACACTTTGAAACTACTGACGGTTTTGGCCTCCACCACCACCTCCCTTAGTTTGTTCCAACTGTCTACCACTGTTTGCAAAAGAAAATTTATTAATAATTTTTCTGCACCTCTTTTTTTTTTTTTTTTTTTTTTTTAGCTTGAATATGTGTCCTCTTGTTCGTGAAGTTGCTGGTTTCAGGAATTCCTCTTTGTCAGTTTGGTCTATTCCTGTTAGTGTTTTGTAAGTGGTGATCATATCACCTCTTTTTCTTCTGTCTTCTAGTTTCAGCTAGTTTAATGCCTCTAGTCTCTCCTTGTAACTCGAGTTTTTCAGTTCCGGAAGCCATTTTGTAGCATGCCATTGCACCTTTTCCAGTTTATTTATGTGCTTCTTGAGATTTGGGCACCATGCAACTGCTGCATATTCCAATTTTGGTGTGTAATTACCTAAGTGTAGTTACAAGATGAGAGCTACGCTCGTGGTGTCCCGTCTTCCCAGCACTCTTTGTCATATGACGCTTTGAAAGTACTGACGGTTTTGGCCTCCACCACCTTCTCACCTAACTTGTTCCAACCGTCTACCACTCTATTTGCGAAAGTGAATTTTCTTATATTTCTTCGGCATCTTTGTTTAGTTAGTTTAAATCTATGACCTTGTTCTTGAAGTTCCAGGTCTCAGGAAATCTTCCCTATCAATTTTATCAATTCCTGTTACTATTTTGTCGTAGTGATCATATCACCTCTTTTTCTTGTCTTCTAGTTTTGGCATATTTAATGCCTCTAACCTCTCCTCGCTCTTGACCTTCAGTTCTGGGAGCCCCTTAGTAGCATGTCTTTTCACCTTTTCCAGTTAGTTGATGTGCATCTTAAGATATGGGCACCACACAACCGCTGCATGTTCTAGCTTTGGCCTAACAAAAGTCGTGAACAATTTCTTTAGTGTTTCGCCATCCATGTATTTAAAAACAATTCTGAAGTTAGAAAGAGTAGCATAGGCTCCATGCACAACATTCTTTATGTGGTCTTCAGGTGATAGTTTTCTATCTAGAACCACCCCTAGATCTCTTTCTTTAACACAATTCTTTAAAGATTTCTCACATAATTTATACGTTGTGTGGGGTCTATGTTCTCCTATTCCACATTCCATAACATGGCATTTATTTACATTAAATTCCATTTGATAAGTGGTGCTCCATATACTTATTTTGTTCAGGTCTTATTGAAGGGCTTGACAATTATCTAAGTTCTTATCCTTCCTGTTATCTTAGCATCATCAGTAAACATGTTCATATAATTCTGTATTCCATCTGGTTGATCATTTATGTAGACAATGAACATCACTTGTGCAAGAACTGAACCCTGTGGTACTCCACTTGTAACAGTTCTCCAGTCCGATACATTGCCTCTGATTACTGCCCTCATTTTTATCAGTCAGAAAATTTTTCATCCATTTTAGAAGCTTACTTGTTACCCCTCCAATATTTTCCAATTTCCAGAACAACCTCTTATGTGGAACTCTGTCTAAAGCCTTTTTTAGGTGCAGATAGATGCAGTCAATCCAACCATCTCTTTCCTGTAAAATCTCTGTGACTCGATCATAGAAACTGAGTAAATTCGATACACAGGATCTTCCAGATCGAAAACCATACTGTCTGTCTGATATTATATCATTTCTCTCCAGTTGTTCTTCCCATTTAGTTTTTATTATTTTTTCCAATATTTTGACTATTACACTTGTCAAGGATACAGGTCTATAATTGAGGGGGTCTTCCCTGCTGCCACTTTTGTAGATTGGAACTATGTTAGCCTTTTTCCACACATCTGCTGCGACTCCTGTACACAGGGATGTCTGAAAAATCAGCTGAAGTGGAATGCTGAGCTCAGGTGCACATTCTCTCAGAACCCATGGTGAAACTTCATCTGGGCCAAATGCTTTGTTCTTACTTAACTCCAAGAGCATTTGTTTCACTTCATCTCTAGACATCTCTATGTGGTCTATGCTGTTCTCTGGAATTCATATTGTGTCTGGTTCTCTGAAGATTTCATTTTGTACAAACACACTTTGGAACTTTTCGTTTAATGTTTCACACATTTCCTTTTCATTTTCTCTGTATCTGTTCCCCATTTTCAAACTCTGAATATTATCCTTTACACGCAGCTTGCTTTTAATGCATTTATAGAAAAGGCCTGGATCTGATTTATATTTGTCTGCTATACCATTTTCAAAGTTTCTTTCTGCCTCTCTCCTTAGTGACGTGTAGTTGTTTGTTGCATCTTTGTATCGCTGGTATGTTTGGGGGTTGGCCTCTTCCTATAATGATTCCATGCTTGTGTCTTTTGATCTCTGGCCCTCTCGCAATTTCTGTTGAACCAACCCTGTTTCCTAGGTCTGCATCTCTGTTTTGGTATGAATGTTTGTGTGCCTTCATCGTATATTTCACAAAATTTGGCATACTTCTCATTTACTTCCTTGCCTAGCAACAAGTCTGTCCAATTATACCAATGAAAAAAATTTCTAAGTTCCCCATAGCGTCCTCTCTTTAAATCGAGTTTAACAACTGTTTCAATGTCCCCATTCTCTACTAGATTATATTGCATAGCGTATTTAATGTCCAAAAGGACATTACATATATGTATCCAAGAGTATATGTATATGTGTGTGTTTGTATGTGTATTTATATACTGTATGTATATATATACTGTATGTATGTATGTACTGTATGAATATGATATTGAATATGACCAAAAAAGTTGGCTCGGTGATTTTAGCATAAATTTTCTCTATTTCTTATGTTCTTTTTCACTTGCAAACTTTTTTTTACTGGCCCACAAGATGGTAGAAAGAATCCTGAAAGACATAATTTTCAGGTGTCAGAAATATGACCCCTGCCAATACTAACCAGAAGATACAAGTCACAGTATACGACAAGAGTAAGAAGATCACCAATTGTTCATAAAAGAACTCTTCTGACACCTACTGAAACGGGTTCATGAAAAATTAATTATTGTATTAAACAGTTCTAACATGAAATAAATTCCTACAGTAGCCATACTTGTACAATAAAAATGAAAGCTCTTGCTATCAGCATGTATGTCTCAACTTGTTTAATATTCATTGCTCATACAGTACTACTGTACAGTATAGTGATTTTGTATTGTCCCGAGTCTTTGAAGCATGTTTACTTAAATACTGCTGTGTATACTGTACTGTACAGTAATTTTGAACAAATATAAATATTTTTATTTTACCAATTACTGCATATATATACACGTGTTATTGTTGTTGTTGTTGAAGAGCAGTAAGGTTACCTTGGGCACGATACTAGCTTGAGAGGCACAGTGGAGGAAGCCGCGGCTTCCTCACAATTTCCCTTAACATCATAACTCATTATTTGTGTTCATATATTTTTGGTATCTTGAAATTATACCCTCAAGGTAGGGGATAATATACATAGTTATTTTGATATATTTGTATATTTCATTACAATTTTATAATAGTATGATACCCTGTAAGGTAAGGTCTAGAGAGTATTTCCCTTAACTCGTCAGTCATTATTCTGGTGCATAATATTTAGTATGAAGGTTCTCTCGTCAGAGACTCAAACCCCCTCCCCCCCTCCTTGGAAACTTTTGCTGTATAATGTAAAAGAAAATGTAAAAATTGTCATTTCTCTAGTTTTCTTTGTGATATTTTAAACTGAGCATTATTTTCCAAATGTAAGATGCAAGTGTTAGTTTTAGTGTGTTGTTTAAGCCAAACTTCCAGGTACGCTGTGGAGGACTCAACATAACTCCTTGTTATGCTGTATAAGAGCTGCTGCTCCTCCATGTATCCTACCTACTCACATGTACAGTTTTGAAGACTAAACCATACATCACAAGATGAGGAGACGACGACATTTCAGTCCGTCCTGGGCCATTCAACTTGGTCCAGAACGGATTGAAACGTTGTCGTCTCCTCATCTTCTGGTATGTGGTTAAGTCTTCACATCTTCAGCCACGTTATTGTCACTCATCGTCTGCATATGTACAGTTTTCTTTCACCTTTTTACAGTGACTTGTGTGTTGAAAATGTTCCCCTGTAATTTTATAATGGATAACTTGTAAACCAATGTAATTTCAAATTTTGCCTATTAAAGATGTCTGATCCTAACCTTCCCTGAAATATCAAGGCCCAACTGGAGGACAAGTGTTATCAGCTAATGGTGCCCATAACATTTCCAATTCAGTTTTGTACATTATACTGCATTGTGGTTACGATGGTTTCATTTGAGTGTTTGGATGTTGTTAGTACATGTTAATCAGACCTGTGCTTTCCTTTGTGTACCAGTGCCACTGTTTCCCAGTAAGTTACATTGCACTTTTAATGTTGTTTGAAAATGTTTTGGGGCTAGCCCTCGGTAGCTCTCCAATGCATTGGCTCTGGTACAACAGAGACATGTACAAAACTACCAGGTCTCTGAACTACCAGGCCTCTGGACTTGCATAGGCCTTTTGAGCTCCAGGACCAGAATCTAGTGTGCTTGAATATGCAAGGGAAGCATTGGGGAGCTTGCGATCCACTTCAAAACTACCTGGATCTCAAGATCCCCAGTGCTTCTCTTGCCGATTTAAGCACACTAGATTCTGGTGTGCTTAAACATTCAGAAATTAGAGGCAAAACCAAGTGAACAACATTTCTTGATTGAAGAGAGAGATGGATACAAGGCAAGCTGTAGTTCACTCAATGTCAACAAACCGTAGTTCACTCAATGTCAACAAACCGTGTGCTATTATCCAAGTACACCAGCACATGGCAGCTCAGGTCACCCAAAGGTTCAACTTGCCTGTTTGCTTCACTTGCACGCCTAACACCATTCTACTACTACTATGTAAGGACCACCTCTTGTTACTTAAAGCTAAGTGTGGTTAATGTTCCTTGGTTGTTCCATGAGAAGCCATGCTTTATATATATATACTGTATGTGTATATATATATATCTCTTCCTGAGTTGCTGCCTGTGTGTCTTGAGCACTGCTTTGGACGGGAGGGGGGGAAGAATGGTGCCCAATCATTTGGACGGTCGGGGATTAAACGCCGACCTGCATGAAGCGAGACCGTCGCACTACCGTTCAGCCCAAGGGGTTGGATAGGTCCATGTGGAACTTGAAAATCTTTCAAGTCGCTGACTTCATCCTCTTCAGGCTCTGGCTTTCAGGCTTACTAACCCCATGGGTCAGACCTCCATCTTTGTCCCTAAATTAACCCGTATCTTTTGGCCCGGAGACGGTTTTCCCTCTATGGCACTGTTAAGCGTATGCATTCTAAAGCTGCTGAGGGTCAGTTCAGAAATCAAGAGTTTAATGTTTAATCCCTCTTTTTTTTTTTAGGGGGGGGGCTCTGCAGCTGTACATTCACCATTCTTTCCTGTGGGGATCAGGGGGCATTTGGGAGTTGACATGGGTTAGTAAGGCAAGCAGGCAGATTGACACTGAGCAAACTACATCTTCCCTTAATTCCATTTTCTTTCTTTAATCAAGGTATGTAGTTTGCTATGCTTTGCCTGTACTTTTTAGACATGTGACATGACAAACTTTATTCAGTTTTAAGAGTGATCTCAGGATCTAATTGCTCTCCCTTGCCTCTTATGCACACTAAACTCTGCTCCTGGTGCTCAATAGGCCTGGCAGGCTGTGGATGTCTCTGGCACTAATGCAGTGTGGCAAGTCGAATTGTTTGTTGCAACTCGAGGCACATTCATTGTTAATTAAAATTTGTCAAGACATAAAAAAGTAAGTTCAGGTTCCCTGCACATGATTAACAGCACTTAGTAGATTTTGAAAAAAAAAGTCACATGTACAAAATATTATCTTTGACTTAATTTAAAGATTTAAATAAAAATACTTTGGAACTGAAAACAGAATCGATTAATTATGGTACAAAACTGAATGGATCATAAATATATTATCAGCTGCCTCATGAATGTACCTAATGGGCATTGATTAATTGAAGATGTTTTCTTGATTTTCTTAAACTTTAAAGATTTGTTATTAAGAAGATGATTATTTTAAACCTAATTCTTTAATTGTTAGCTGTTGTATCTCTAAAAAATCAATTATTTAATGATTTCTTGTTATCAAACACAGTAGTATAAGAAAAAATTATGGATTGATTAACAAATACTTAAACTCAAATATTGACAATTTGCTTCATAAGCCAAGTCACATTTTAGTGCTTGTGTAGATTGACTTACCCAAGGGGACATGTGACATGATTTTAAAATGAAATCATACTTGAAATTGGATTTATTGAAACAAATTCTGGCCTACAGTACACTATGGTACGGTATTTTTTTTGTGGATTGGATCAGCTTCTTTGTTAGTGTCAAATGTGAAATAATAAATATTATACTTAACCTAATGAGTAAAGTGCAGACATTTGTTCAGTTGAGTAATTGCCACTGAGAGGAACAGCTTCAGTATTCAGTAGATTTTATGTTTGGTGTTCTACTTGGTAATTCTTTAAAAGAATATCTTGGATTTTCTTACTTAGAATGTAGCATTTGAACAAAAATTTTAGTTTTAAAATTGCTTTTGGCAAATTAGATAGTTTATTTTTACTGTGTCGAGGGGATTGAGTGCTTTCACTATGTGCTATATGAACTACCAACCCACCGAGTATCCTTGTCATAGTAAAGGTGCTTTTACAAAAAAAAAAATACAGTAAAACACTTTAATCCTCTTGTAATGAGTATCTAGCACTTGCTAAATGTTGTTAAATCTTTGGTTAGATATGAAAAATGTCTTTTTTTTTTTTCATTTTTTTTAAGAAGAAGAAGAAGAAACCGATTTTAATTTCAGCAGTTTTTTCTGAGCAATATTGTAGGCAAGTTAAGGATTACAGGACAAACTAAATACATAATCTCAGGTCTTTCTGGTATTTTTTCTGACATTTATAAATGCTGTGTAATGTTGATTAAAGATTTTTTTGTAATAACGAGTTAGTTACCCACCTGTGGTTGCATCACAAGTCATCTGGTGTGCTGTATTTGTGCGTGTAACAGAGAACACCATGTGATTGACGGATTGGTTCCATCAATAGAGAATACCTATCGATGGATGTATTTATGTTTGCAACACAAAGTAGCGTAAATTAATATGCTACTATGTAATTCCAACTCGTGTCAAATTCCATCTCGTCATACCTGTTGAAGTAGTATTGCAGAGGGAAAATATAAAAAAGTAACTACTCGCAAATATTGGTGTAATTACTTGGCTTTCCCCATATAAATTTGACTGGATGTGGATATGAAATGTAACACTGTGAAGGCATATAAAGCTTCTACTATACCAGTTTCAAATAAGTAAACTTGCATCTTGTGATGACTTTGCCACAGGTCTACCAAATGTAAATACTGTACTGTACTCAGCAATTTGAAATTATCTATTGGGAATCTCAGACTCACCATGGTTAAAAACAACTAATTTCATAATAAATATGAGACATTATCCTTAATTATTGCTAATGTACTTCATTTTTAATCTAGTTACCAACAGGGAAGTAAAAAATTTTATTACTGATTATTGTATATTTGGTAAGAAAAGCACACCTCCTTCCACCTATTCTATTACAAATTCTCAAAAAAATTGACAAGGAATACCCCTTCCTCCCAGTAAAATGCTTGAGACTAAATCAGACCTCAGTTTGTACTGTGATTACCTAAGTGTAGTTACAGGATGAAAGCTACGCTCGTGGTGTCCCATCTTCCCAGCACTCTGTCATATAACGCTTTGAAATTACTGACGGTTTTGGCCTCTACCTTCTCACCTGATTTATTCCAACCATCTACCACTGTTTACAAAAGTGAATTTTCTTATATTTCTCTGGCAGCTTTGTTTCTTTAGTTTAAATCTATGACTTCTTGTTCTTGAAGTTCCAGGTCTCAAGAATTCTTCCCTATCAATTTTATTGATTCCTGTTACTATTTTGTACGTAGTGATCATATCACCTCTTTTTTTTTTCTTCTAGCTTCTTGTTTGTGTATATTTAATGCCTCTAACCTCTCCTCATCGCTCTTGTCCTTCAGTTCCGGGAGCCATTTAGTGGCATGTCTTTGCACCTTTTCCAGTTTGTTGATGTGCTGTACTGTACTGTACGTGCCTACTTGTACTTGCAGGGTTAAGCTGCGGTTCTTTGACCCCATATCTCAACCATTAATCAACACTTGGGCCTATTGTGCTCTTTATCATCTCTAGAAATATATTTGAAACTTTGTGTGAAATCTGCTGCCATATCACTTCCTAGCACATTCCAATTAACTCTAACACTTAAAAAGTTCTTATTAATTTCTCTGATTCATTTGGGTACTAAGTCTCCACCTGTGTGGTCATTTGTCCTTCGATAGGATCCTTAGTGAATCTGATACCTTCAATAGTGCTTATCATATGTGCTTTTGTTCTCTTATTGGCATCCACAATAATATTTGGCAGGTTTTGAACATTCAGTGACACTGATGGTGCTACATAGTCTTCCTGGCTTTGTGTCTTCTTTTGATAATTATTTAGTACATAGTGCATGTTAAAAAAGGAAACCATTGTTCCACTCTACAAAAATGGTAAGAGAGAAGAGACTTAATTATAGACCTGTATCAATGACTAGTATGATAGTCAAAACTAGAAAAATAATTAAAACCAAATGGGTAGAACATCTTGAGAGATATTGTATAAAGGATAGTATGGCTTTCGAACAGGAAGATCCTGCGTTGCAAATCTACTTAGTTGCTATGATAGAGCCACAGAGATTTTACAGAAAAGTTGTTTTACAGATTTTTTTTATATACGATCCCAGAACAAAGGGCCCACGAAACGCCAGGCGAGTGCCTTACTACTACGCCACAGAGACTTTGTTTATCAGGACTTAAAAAAGCCATTTGACAGTCCCACATAAAAGATTGCTCTGGAAACGAAGATACTGGAGGGGTGCCAGGAAGACTTGACACTGATTAAAAATTCTCTAATTGATAGAAAAATGAGGGTGGTAATCAGAGGCAATGTCTTAGATTGGAGACATGTTGCTATATTGGAGTACCACAGAGTTCTGTTCTAGCACCAATAATGTTAATTGTCTATATGATTAATCTACCAGAAGGAATACAGAATTATAGGTACATGTTTGCTGATGATGCTAAACTATTAGGGGAAGATAAAAAAAAACGATGTCTTTGCCTTCAAGAAGACTTTGACAAATTAAGTGTATGGATCAACACTTGACAGGTAGAACTTATTGTGAATAAATGGCACGTTATAGAATGTGGAACAGACGAAAATGGGCCACACACAACTTGCAAATAATGTGAAAAGGGTTTAATGAACATTTGAGATTCAGGATGGTTCTGGATAGGAAGCTCGCCTGAGGACCACAATTTTTATTTTTTATTTAATTATATACAATAAGGTACTTTTGGGTTGTGACAGTACATTTACATACATTGGGGTTTCAGCGTTACATTCTTGCAAAGCCAATAAGTTGATGGATGCCTACTACTACTAACAATATTAATAATTTTTATTCACAAGAAGGTGCAATGGGTTGTTGAGATTATATGAGATTGGTATTTTTACATTCTTGCAAAGCCACTAACACGCATAGCATTTCGAACAGGCCAATAAAATAAATAAAAAATAAATGAACTGAATAATGAGCTACGAGAAGAGGCTATTGGTGTTAAATATACCTAAGCTATGAGACAAAAGAAATATAGGCGACATACTCGCCAAATACAGTTACTTAGTAATGGGTATAGTAACTTCAGTGCCCCCTACAACGCCGCGGAATTCAGAGAAAATGGCACAGGAGCTCGCGGCCGCCGGAGACAACCGGCCTGCCCGGACCCTATGAGCGGATATTATTTAGTTGGATACTACCATGAAATTACTTAAACGCGTCATAGCATACATTTATCTTCATGTGACATGTAATTCTTTGTGGCACGATGACCACTGCCTTTATCTGTCACAGCATACCTTTCCCCCGGCTCTGGCATTCCTTCCATGTGAGCATGCATAACCCCTGCCACAGCATGCCTTTCCCTACTCTGGTATTCCTTCCACGTACTGTGGTATGCATAACCCGTGGCATGGCATGTCTTCCCCTGAGACAGCATGCCTTCCCTACTCTGGCATTCCTTCCACGTACTGTGGCATGCATAACCCATGGCATGGTTGAGTTTAGTTGAGTTGGCATGTCTTCCCCTGCCACAGCATGCCTTTCCCTACTCTGGCATTCCTTCCACGCACTGTGGCATGCATAACCCGTTGCATGGCGTGGAGGAGGCCTGGTCGAGGACGGGGCAGTGGGGACGCTAAGCCCCGAAATCATCTCAAGATAACCTCTAAAGATATGGCTTACTTCCCACTTAATGTGGCAAAAATTCATAAAAAATATAAAAGCTCTGGCTTAGTTATATTGCAAGAAATGGATGTAACCTGCATTATTCAGAAAAAAGCAGCAACCTAGTCATGATATATTTTGTCATAATAGTAAACATCCCTGCCGTAACGTGAGGTAGTCACGGAAGTGGTGACTTGATAGAAAGTTCATCATGTCCTGGTTCAACCTTGACGACGAGCGGATGTCTGGACACCTCCTCAGCCTGGGAGCCGCCTGATACCGTTCTGTTTTCGCTTTTTGGCTTTGCTACTGCCGTTTGGCATCCCTATTCAACGGTCCGGTTGTCCGACGCCTGGCGCCTTGGGTCATGGGATTGTTGATAGATTTTTTTTGACGTGTTCTGGCTGGTTCTCCCGGCGGGGTGACGGTGTTCGGGGGGCCGGGTTGGCCGAGAGGTGCCGGTGTTGGTGGGCTCCTGGTGTGCCCTCAGCCGTGGTGGGCGGCTGGCTTCTGCTCTGCCGGGGGCCACTGGATGATTTTTGCGTTTTAGTTGGGGGCAGAGTTTTGGTTTTTGCTACCCGGTGTTCTCTGTGTGGGGCGGGGCCGGTGCTTGTCACCCTGAGGGACTCCTGGGACTCCCCAGTGTTCTCTGTGTGGGGCGGGGCTGGTGCTTGTCACCCTGAGTGACTCCTGGGTCCCTCAGGGGCTCCCCCAGTGTTCTCTGTGTAATTACCTAAGTGTAATTACCTAAGTGTAGTTACAGGATGAGAGCTACGCTCGTGGTGTCCCGTCTTCCCAGCACTCTTTGTCATATAACGCTTTGAAACTACTGACGGTCTTGGCCTCCACCACCTTCTCACTTAACTTGTTCCAACCGTCTACCACTCTATTTGCGAAGGTGAATTTTCTTATATTTCTTCGGCATCTGTGTTTAGCTAGTTTAAATCTATGACCTCTTGTTCTTGAAGTTCCAGGTCTCAGGAAGTCTTCCCTGTCGATTTTGTCAATTCCTGTTACTATTTTGTATGTAGTGATCATATCACCTCTTTTTCTTCTGTCTTCTAGTTTTGGCATATTTAATGCTTCTAACCTCTCCTCGTAGCTCTTGCCCTTCAGTTCTGGGAGCCACTTAGTAGCATGTCTTTGCACCTTTTCCAGTTTGTTGATGTGCTTCTTAAGATATGGGCACCACACAACAGCTGCATATTCTAGCTTTGGCCTAACAAAAGTCATGAACAATTTCTTTAGTATATCGCCATCCATGTATTTAAATGCAATTCTGAAGTTAGAAAGCATAGCATAGGCTCCTTGCACAATATTCTTTATGTGGTCCTCAGGTGATAGTTTTCTATCTAGAACCACTCCTAGATCTCTTTCTTTATCAGAATTCTTTAAAGATTTCTCACATAATATATAGGTTGTGTGGGGTCTATGTTCTCCTATTCCACATTCCATAACATGACATTTATTAACATTAAATTCCATTTGCCAAGTGGTGCTCCATATACTTATTTTGTCCAGGTCTTCTTGAAGGGCATGACAGTCATCTAAATTTCTTATCCTTCCTATTATCTTAGCATCATCAGCAAACATGTTCATATAATTCTGTATACCAACTGGTAGATCATTTATGTACACAATAAACATCACTGGTGCAAGAACTGAACCCTGTGGTACTCCACTTGTGACATTTCTCCATTCTGATACATTGCCTCTGATTACTGCCCTCATTTTTCTATCAGTCAGAAAATTTTTCATCCATGATAGAAGCTTACCTGTCACCCCTCCAATATTTTCCAGTTTCCAGAACAACCTCTTATGTGGAACTCTGTCGAAAGCCTTTTTTAGGTCCAGATAGATGCAGTCA